GGAAAAGCAATGAAAGCAGAATAGATGAAATGGAAGAACGAATAAGTAATCTTGAAGACACAGAAATAAAAAGAACCAAAACAGAAAAGGAAAGAGAAGTACGAAGGAAAAAGAATGAAGAAAGACTTCGGGAACTATCTGACTCCATGAGGAAAGGAAATATAAGAGTTATAGGAATTCCAGAAGGAGAGGAGAGAGATGTAGGAACAGAGAAAATATTCATGGATATAATTGAAGAGAACTTCCCAAATGAGAAGAAGGAGCTGAAAATTGATATACAAGAAGCAAGAAGAACACCAAACTTCCACGACGAAAGGAAAAACACAGCAAGACACATAATAGTAAAGCTCCCAAGAATCCAGGACAAGGAAAAAATAATGAAGCTGACAAGAGGGAAGAAACAGATAACATTCAAAGGAAAACCAATCAGGCTGACATCAGACTTCTCTGAAGAAACACTACGGGCAAGGAGAGAGTGGAGGGACATAGTCAACAGACTCCAAGAAAACAGATGCCAACCAAGAATACTCTATCCCGCAAAGCTCTCTTTCCTCCATGAAGAAAGAATATGGACCTTCCCAGACAAAGAGAAACTCCGGAATTTCATTGCGACTAAACCCCCACTCCAAAAAATACTACAAGGAATCCTAAAGCCAGAACCTCAGAGGGACGAATAACAACGAAAGAAGACCAAAAAAAAAAAAAAAGTTATTAAAAGAATAAATAAATAAAATCAAAGGAAAGACAAACATAATGGCAAATACAGATGCTAACATATCAATATTAACTCTAAATGTAAATGGACTAAACTCTTCAATAAAAAGACACAGAGTTGCAGCCTGGATTAAGAAACAAAACCCAACCTTTTGCTGTCTCCAGGAAACACATTTAGCTACAAAAGATAAAAATAGGCTCAAAGTCAAAGGATGGAAAACAATCCTACAAGCAAATGGGCCAAAAAAGAAAGCAGGAACAGCTATACTTATATCAGATAAAACAGACTTCAAACTCAAAAAATAAAAAGAGACCCCAATGGTCACTACATTATGATTAAGGGGACAATACTTCAAGAAGAAATAACACTCATTAACATATACTCACCAAACGAAAGAGCACCAAAATATATCAGACAACTGTTGTCCTCTCTGAAAACAGACATCAGAGAAAACACATATGTAGTGGGAGACTTCAACACACCACTATCAACAATGGATAGATCAACAAGACAAAAAATAAGTAAAGAAACTAAAGCTCTAAATAAGGACCTAGAGCATTTGGGCTTAACAGACATCTATAGAACACTAAACCCAAAAAAAACGGAGTACACATTTTTCTCAAGCGCACACGGATCATTCTCCAGGATCGATCACATACTGGGGCACAAGACAAACATCAACAGATACACCAAGATTGAAATCATACCAACCATCTTTTCTGACCACGAAGGCATCAAACTAGAAATAAATCATAAAAAGAAGGCAAGGAACTATCCTACCTCATGGAGATTAAAAGCCACACTACTGGAAGACCACTGGACTAACGAGGAGATCAAAGAAGAAATTAAAAAATTCTTTGAATTGAATGACAAGGAGGACACCAATATCCTAAATGTATGGGATGCAGCAAAAGCAGTAATAAGAGGAAAATATATAGCAATAGAAGCTCACATCAAAAAACAAGAAAGAACTCAAAGAAACAACCTAATCTCGAAGCTCAAAGATCTAGAAAAAGAACAACAAAAAAACCCCAGAACCAGTAGAAGAAAAGAAATAATAAAAACCAAAGCAGAAATAAATGAAATTGAAACTAAAAAAACAATCCAAAAGATCAATGAAACCAAGAGCTGGTTCTTTGAAAAAATAAATAAAATAGACAAACCCCTAGCCAGGCTCACAAAGGAAAAAAGGGAGAAAGCACAAATACACAGAATCATAAATGAAAGAGGAGAAATCACAACGGACACAGCAGAAATCAAAAGAATAATCAGCAACTACTATGAACAGTTATATGGAAACAAGTTCAACAATCTAGAGGAGATGGACAAATTCCTACAACTCTACAATCACCCAAAGCTAGATAAAGAAGAAATAGAACACCTAAACAGACCAATTACAAGCAGCGAAATTGAAATGGTAATTAAAACCTCCCCAAAAACAAAAGCCCAGGACCTGATGGATTTACAAATGAATTCTACCAAACATTCAGAGACGAATTAGTGCCTATCCTTCACAAACTCTTCCAAAAAATTGAGAAGGAAGGGACAATACCAAACACGTTCTATGAAGCCAATATTATACTAATACCAAAACCGAATAAGGACAACACAAAAAAGGAAAACTATAGGCCAATCTCCCTAATGAACACTGATGCAAAAATCCTCAATAAAATTTTAGCTATCAGAATCCAACAATGTATCCATAAGATAATTCACCACGACCAAGTTGGATTCATTCCAGGGGCACAAGGATGGTTTAACATCCGAAAATCAATCAACGTTATCCAACACATCAACAAAAAGAAATATAAAAACCATATGATAATATCAATAGATGCTGAGAAAGCTTTCGACAAAGTGCAACACCCATTCATGATAAAAGCCCTTGAAATTCTTGGGATACAAGGAACATACCTCAACATCATAAAGGCCATCTATGAGAAGCCAACAGCCAGTATCATTCTCAATGGTGAAAAGCTGAAAGCAATTCCATTAAGATCTGGAACAAGACAAGGATGTCCACTCTCACCACTGCTTTTCAATATAATACTGGAAGTCCTAGCCAGAGCAATAAGACAAGAGAAAGACATCCAAGGAATCCAAATAGGAAAAGAAGAAGTCAAACTATCACTATTTGCAGACGATATGATAATATACATAGAGAACCCAAAATCTCCACAGAAAAACTAATTCAACTCATCAATCAATTCAGTAAAGTGGCAGGATACAAAATCAACACGCAAAAGTCAGTAGCCTTCCTATACACAAACAATAAATCTGAAGAAGAAGAAATCAAAAAAACCACCCTTTTATTATCGAAACAAAAAAATCAAATATTTGGGAATAAATCTAACAAAAGAGGTAAAGGACCTATACAAAGAAAACTATAAAACACTGTTAAAAGAAGTAGAAGAAGACACAAAGAAATGGAAAGACATCCCCTGCTCATGGATTGGAAGAATAAACATTATTAAAATGGCCATCCTACCAAAAGCAATATACAGATTCAATGCTATTCCAATCAAAATCTCAATGGCATTCTTCAAAGAAATAGAACAATTATTGATGAAATTCATATGGAATCACCAAAAACCCCGAATAGCCAAAGCTCTACTGAAAAAAAAAGAAGGAAATGGAGGCATCACACTCCCAGACTTCAAACTATACTACAAAGCCATAATCATCAAAACTGCATGGTATTGGAACAAGAACAGACATACAGACCAATGGAATCGAATAGAAAATCCAGAAATAAACCCACAGATTTATGGTCAACTAATCTTTGACAAAGGAGCAAAGACTATGCATTGGAGCAAAGAAAGTTTGTTCAATAAATGGTGCTGGGAAAACTGGGTCGCTACATGCAAAAGAATGAAGCTTGAGCACTACCTCACACCATACACAAAAATCAACTCAAAATGGATTAAAGAACTAGACATAAGACCTGAAACCATAAAATACATAGAAGGAAATATAGGCGAAACACTACGGGATTTGCACATCAAAGACATCTTTAAAGACACATCACCCAAAGCAGTGATAGTGAAGAGAAAGATAAACAGCTGGGATGACATCAAATTAAAGAGCTTCTGCACAGCAAAAGAGACAATAACAAAAACAAAGAGAAACCCCACCAACTGGGAGAACATTTTTGCACCCAACACTAATGATAAAGGACTGATCACAAAAATCTGCAAAGAGCTGATGAGACTCAGCAACAACAAAGAAAATAATCCAGTCAAAAAATGGGCAGAAGAGCTAAAAAGAAACTTCTCTGAAGAGGAAATGCAAATGGCCAACAGACATATGAAAAAATGTTCAACATCACTTGTAATCAGGGAAATGCAAATCAAAACTACCATGAGATACCATCTCACACCAGTGAGAATGGCACATATTAAAAAAACTAGCAACAACAAATGTTGGCGAGGATGTGGAGAAAAAGGAACTCTTGTGCACTGTTGGTGGGAGTGCAAACTGGTCCAACCACTATGGAGAGCTGTGTGGAGATTTCTGGACCTACTAAACATAGGGCTTCCATATGGTCCAGCAATTCCACTCCTAGGTATTTACCCAAAGGACACAGAAACATCAATTCCAAAGAGCACCTGCACTCCTATGTTTATAGCAGCACTGTTTACAATAGCTAAGCTTTGGAAACAACCCAAATGCCCAAAAATAGATGACTGGATCAAGAAGATGTGGTACATATATACCATGGAATATTACTCAGCATTCAAAAAAGATAAACACATGCAATTTGCAGCAACATGGATGGCACTGGAAGGGATCATGCTCAGCGAAATAAGCCAAAAAGAAAAAGAAAAATACCGGATGGTCTCACTCATAGCAGGAATCTAGAAAACTTAAATAAGGGACCAGGAAAATGAATATAAGAAAGTGAAAATCAAAATCAACAAAAAACTATGAACCAGAGACACTTTTTGGGGGTGGGGGGCGGGAGGGGAAGGATTGGGGTCAGAATGGGGCGTTTGCAATTGAATGGGGGAATATAAAAATAAAATTTAATATTTAAAAAAAAAAAATAAATAAATAAAAGGTAGCAAAATTGAAGTAACTAGGATATGATTCAGAAGGTGAAGAAATATTTTGAAATATTTCTAGAACTATTTTATGATTTTTCACTATAACAGATTTATACTTCTGAAGAAAAGAAACAAAATTTAATTGAGATTTAGGAATTATATCAAGATATGAAACATTGATAAGCACATTTTACTCACATATTTATACTGACACATAGAGTACATATGGGTTACTTTACCTTTTCAATAATATCATAACATTTTTCCAACCTTTGAATTCTGCCTTCTACAACTGTACTAGCCTTTTTATACTCCACCAACCACTGCTGATATTCTATCACAGTTAAATCTGTATAGGCAATACAGAGAGTTCTTAGACCTGAAAAAAAACAGAATATGATATAACCTGGGTAAGCTACCAGTGATCCAGAAGTAGAGAACTTGAAAATCCAAAAGTATTTTAGGAGCAAAGGTGCCTTGGGGCCCCAATCAGACCACCCCCAGACCTGAATGGGTGGAAACTCACCCAGCTCAGAACCTGCCCCCTCAAAGCAGAGGGGTCCCAAAACAAAAAAAAAAGGGGGGGAGGTGTGAAAATACAGCAACAAATGGCAACAGAAAGAGAACAAATCTCCAGAACCCAACCACAAGAACATGGAAGATCTGTTCTTCCTATCAGAAACAAAATTCAAAGTAGTTGTGATAAAGAAAGAGAAATGGAAAGAAATTCGTGGGGAAAATGACTATAATGAGAAATAAAATCAACAAACAGAAGATGAAATTGAAGGTCTATATAAGAAAAATATGGTGATTCGAAACATTAAAAAAGCAATAGAGGATATGCAATGAATTGATAATATATATATATTGATTCCATGGGGAAAGTAATTAAAAATAACTACTTCAACAAAATAGCAAGACACAAAATCAACACACAAAAATCAGTTGCCTTCTTATATAGAAAACAATTAGAAGAAGAAATCAACAAAGATATACCATTTACAATGTCACCAAAAAAATGAAGTACCTGGGAATCAGTCTAACAAAGCAGGTGAAGGATTTATACAACAAAAACTATAAAACATTGTTAAGAGAAATACAAGAAAACACAAAGAAATGGAAAGAGATTCCCTGCTCATGGCTGGGAATAATGAACATTATCAAGATGGCCATCCTATCCAAAGCAATTTTCAGAATCAATGCAATCCCAATAAAGATTCCAAGAACATTATTCAAAGAAATAGAACAATGATTTCTGAAATTCATAAGGAACCACAAAAAACCCTCAACATTTGTACTTCCAACTATAATGTAGAGCCATAATAATTAAAACAGAATGGTACCAGAACAAAAACAAACACCCAGACCAATGGAATAGAATTGTGAGCCCAGATAGAAAACCACACATATGTAGACAACTATGACAAAAGAGCAAATATATTCACTGGAACAAGGAAAGTCTCTTCAATAAATGGTACTGGGAAAACTGGACTGCCACATGCAAAAGAATGTTCTAGCATCATTCTTTTGCCACACACTATCTCATGCCACACATGAAAATTAACTCATAATGGATAAGACTTGGATGTGAGACCTGAAACCATAAATACATAGAAGAAAACATAGACAAAACACTCTAAGACATAAACTTCAGACACATCTTTGTGAATCATCTCCAACAGCAGGGAAAACAAAGGGAAAAATAAATCACTGGGACTACATCAAAACAAAAAGCTGTATAGCAAAAGAGACAGTGACCAAAAACAAAGAAACAGCCTGCTAAATGGGAGGAAAATATTTGCACCTCATACATCTGACAAGGGACTGATAATCAAAGATCTACAAAGAGCTCATACAACTCTACAAAAACAAACAACCCAATCAAAAACTGGGCAGACAAGCTAAAAGAGCACTCCTTCAAAGAACACTTGTAGATGGCCAACAGGCATATATGAAAAAGAAATGTTCATTATCACTTATCAGAGAAATGCCAACCAAGACCACATGATACAGCACCTCACACCTGTGAGAATGGCCAATTAAAAAAAAGAAAACAGAAACAACAAGTACTATCACAGATGTGTGAAAAAGGATCCCTCGTACACTGTTGGTAGAAATGTAGACTGGACTAGCACCCATGGAAAGTGTGGAGACTCCTCAGAAGACTAGAAGTGGATCTACCATATGACTCAGCAATTCTACACCTAGGTATCTATCCAAAGAACAGAAAACACTAATTCAAAAGGAAACCTGCACTCCTATGTTTATAGGAGCACTATTTAAAATAGAAACAACCTACCTGCCTCAGGTGAGTGAATTAAGAAGAGGTGATATGTATAAATATATACAGTAGAGGGCCTCCCTGGTGGTGCAAGGGGTTAAGACACAACCTATGAAGCAATCGGCAGCCTCTGTAGCACAAGTTTGATTCCCCAGCCGGCCAGGGAGCAACCCACATGGCGCAGCAGACCTCTCCTGACTTGCCCACTGCTCCCCTTAGCAGTGTACTTCGGTCATTCTGCCTGTTCTGGCTTGTACACCCCCCACACATCTGGCCTGTACCCCAGCTCTTGTATGCATAAATAAATAAATCTTTGAAAAAAATATATAATGAAATATACTCAGAATCAAAAAGATAAACTCATGCCATTTGTGGTCACATGGATATATCTGAAAGGGATTTTCAACTATGGGTACAGTTTGTAAAACAACTTGATAAAATGTGGCACTAAGCAAATAGAAATAGCTAATAGAAAGAAGACTCTATTTCTTGAATAAAGGATGATCCATGCAGTAAAACATACATTTTACCATATGCTCACAAGCACATGACAGAGAAAGGAAGAAAATAGAAACAGTTTATGGACAGGGTCTCTTTGGGGAACCATTACTTTTGAGCGAACAGAAGGCATTACAAAGTCAAGCATTGGGCCTCCCTGGTGGCCTAAGGGGTTAAGACTAAATGCTATCACTACTATGGACTGAGTTCGATCCCCCACCAGTTAGCTAACCCACATATGGCATCTGTCTCTGGTGAATCCTCTTACCCAGCCCCTCCCCTCGCACCTCTGGCCAACACCCCAGTTCTTCTACACAAATTTTTTTTTTAATTAAAAAAAAAGCCCTGTTCTGGGCCTCCCTGGTGGCACAATGGTTGAGCGCTGGGATGTGAAGCTGCCCGCAGCCTCTGCAGCGCCAATTCAATACCCGGCCGCTGGGTGAGGGTCCCACATGGCGCACAGACCTCTCCTGCCGCCTGCTGTTCCCCTCAGCAGTGTATTTCGGTCCATCTGCCTGTTCTGTTCTCCGCTCTGGCTCTGGTGAATTCTCTTACCCTCCCGCACTTCTGACTGTACCCAGTACTTGTATAAATAAATAAATAAATAAATCTTTAAAAAAAAAAAAAATCCCTGTTCTTACAAAAAAAAAAGTCAGGCACAAAAACGAGGTCCCTTTTGCCAACCTATGAATTCAACAAGAATCAGTGGCATGAATTGTGGGTACTATTTTAATACTTAAGAAGAACATTGCCAAAAGGAACTAGATTTTAAACAATTTCCACTTACCTTCTCTGGCAAAATATTCCAGGTGTGCTAGTGTCTCCTGTACAAAGACAGAATCTTTTGAAAGTCTTTCATAAATAACTGTATCCTGTGCAAAAAAAAAAAAATCCTGTGATTAATATGCTATGTAAACCTGCTAATCAGAAATCTAAATACTACTTTATATTTTTAATATATCTGGTAGAGGTTCAAGCAGCCCCAATGAAGGTGCAGTTCCCCTATGCCAACTCCTCAGCCAAAATGTCTCACAGTTTGAAACAGCCTCACACTACGCTGTAGTGGAGCATAGATATAGCACTGACTGTGTGAGGACTATGGTTGAGACAAGGCTACCAGTCAGGAGTTGTTCTGTTTGCTTTTTGAATACTTAGGGAATTTTCTTTTTCACTCCACACGCCAAAATATTATAAAGGACTTCCTACAAGTGACTGAGGCTTAGAAGGAAAGAATTATTCTGAATAATGAATCCCAGTACTTACAGCCCCTTTGCAGTACAGGCGGAGCTTTCCTGTAGGAGTTCGGACAATTACAGACATCCTTTTCCTATTACTAAAACATTGTTAAAAGTATTATTAGTTTCTCTTTTCATCAATAAACTGCTCTAACACACACAAATATCAAAGTTAAAATTATTATAATGGAGTCCTCAGCTGATCATTAGTGGAAAAACATTACTTATTAGTTTTCATTTCTTTACCCAACTTCTTAAAATGAGATTCTTAGTATAAATCTCACTTTCAACTAGTGATATTTTTTACTTTCTGTCCTTTTCATTCATTAAAATTTATTCAAATGCATATAATTATATATATATCATGTGCAATATATGGCATTCTACATTAGTGTTACATAATACATGCTACATTGCATATATTACTTGTTTGTAATATATTACATAATACACATATACAGCAATATATTTATTGTACATTATGCATATACATACATAACTCATGTCACATGTGTGTATATTACATGGCTAAAATATATACATAACAAGAATTACATATGTACACCACACAAACATATACCCCTGGGCCTGTGCATGCGCAATCCTCATTATCTCTATCAAGTAGACCTTCTTTCCCCATATTGCTACATAGAGAAGTCAAACTGTTGGCTCAATAAATGTCAGCTTTTTATCTGCAGTCCTGTCAAAAATTCTCTGGAATTCTTTATTATTATTTTTTTACAATTGTAGATAGAACTTAAACTCATTGCTTTTATTCCTGACTGACAGTCCAAACAGGCTTGAAGATCTCCCCTCCCCAGCTTGTCCCACACATTGTCAGAGTAAATTGCCCCAAATGGCGCTTACTCCTCACCCGTATCACTCCTTCATACAACTCCAGTAACACTGCCCTATTTAAAGTCCTCTCACGACTTGGCATTACATATATGCAGGCAGTCTAAATTCCTCACCATAGACTGCAAATCCTGCTATGGCCAGCTTCACCAGACTCTCCTCCTACTTTGCTTCTGCCTCTCACTCCAGAACCACTAGGTTGCTGTTCATTTTTGTTTCTTGATGCTGATACCAATCTCTCTCAGGATCTTGGCTCCAACTATTACATCTGCCTGGAATGTTCTTTCACATCTTCACAGGCTTCCTCCTTGCGTCTTTTAATATCATTCCAAATCCTGCTTCTCAGGAAGGCTCACTTGGCAACTCAAAGGTAAATTCCACCCCACCAGCATCACAGTCCATTTCCACCAGATCAAACTATTTAATTTCCTTTGTAGAATTCATCAGGACCTAAAATTCTCTTGTTGGTTATCTTGTTTATTATGTACCTCTCTCCATTAGAGGGTAAGGCCCACAAAAGATTGGCCTCATAGCCTTCTAGTTAGAAATAGAGAAAAGTGACTGGCATTTGAAAGATGCTCAAAAATACTTGTGGCCGTGTAGACTGAATTCTACCCCATGAAGATGAAAATGTACTTTTTACATTCTCTAACATTCCCTTCACCTCTGGAAACATAGACCATTGATAACACTAGAGACTTTGAAATCAGACAGACCTGGATTTGAATCTTGAGGAAGGGGACTCCTGCCCTCCTGGAACTTTCAATCTGGTTGGTGAGACAGTCATTAAGTAGCAAACCAGATTTTAAATTTCAGTGCTGGCTGCAATGAATACTGGAATGGACAGGTGTTTGAACCCATTTTCATTCCAAAAGGGAATTCAGTCTAATGAGTGTTACAAAATGAGAATTGAGCTAAGATTAAAGGATGGATAGAGGATAATTAGAATTTCATGAGCCTGTATTAAAAGTTTTAATTTACAGTGCCAAATATTGATTAACTAGTTACAGAAATGACCCTGGGCAGTACATAAATGTAGTAAAAAAGATACCTTACCTTGAAAATTCCAGGATATTAAGAATTTCAAAGGTAAAAATTTTTCCCATCTGCAGGAATGTAAGACAACATACTCTTACCGAAGGAAAAAAAGATTCCTCACAAATAACTCACTCTCCCAGTCACAAACAAGTTTTATTCTCCAACTACACATCTTTTTCAAAATACTTATTTTATTACAAGTCTGATGAGATGATGGTGCCCTCCTCTGGTAAGAACATAATTTGCAATCTGAGCAGTATTATCACAAATATTTCTGATAATACAGATTGAAGGCTGAAACATCTCTTTAGTCTAAAATCAGCACTGTTTGAAATAGGTTGAAGGGGTATATGGAGTGAACAAAACAATAAATTCATCAAATGAAGTCCTTAGTCCTTAGATAACTTGAAGAGGTAAATGTGGAAAGAGGCAGTACACTGTCAAAGTTTATATCAATGAAACATATATTCTTTTTTTAACAACTTTATTGAGGGAAAATTGATATACTAAAAACAGAGCAAATTTAATGTGTACAATTTCATAAGATTGGACACAAACATAATAACATCACCACAGTCAAGGTAATAGACACATCTAAACCTCCCAGAATTTCCTTGTGTCCCTTTGTTTGATGGTAAAAGCATTTTAACATGAGATCAACCTTCTTGAAAATTTTGAAGCATGCAATATAGTATTGTTAACTGTGTTGTTAACTGTGCTGTGCTGGAGATCTCTAGAATTTACTCAGTTAATTCAATTGAAACATTATACACTTTGAATAACAAATCCTCAATCTCTCTAACCTTGAATCTTTGGCGACCACTATTTTCTGATTCTATGAGCTTGACTATTTAGGTATCTCATGTAAAGAAAAATCATACAGTATTTGTCTTTCTGTAACTGGCTTATTTCATTTACTATGATATCTTCAATGCTCATCCATTAAAAACATATATTCTTTTATAAAACTTTCGATTATAGCATCTCAACTTCCTAATCAGTTAGTCAAGATCAGTTATCCATGATCAATTTATCTCTAAATCTACAAGCTTCTAGTTTCACCAATATGGCACTGCAGAATTTCAATTTGAGTCATCCATGTACTATGGGTGTAGGGAGGAATTAATCAGTCCATTCTAGCAAAGATTCCACATCTAATAAACACCTCTAACCATTGTATTATCAATAGAAAATAAAAAAAAATCAGTGTTGGCATGTTTGCATTGCATAGCTTCATTTTTCTCCCCATAATATCAAAGACTTGTCATAAGTAGTCATCAAGATATGCCAAGGAGAGAGAGAGAGAGAGAGAGAGAGAGAGAAAGAGAGAGAGAGAAAATCTCTCTATCCTTCACTAAAGGATAGTTTGAAGCATTTCATTCTTGACAAGAGAAATATATGTATTTCTTGAACATTTGATATCTCTGGCTTGCTAGTAAGCACTTCCTCTGTACCAAGCAGTAATTCTAATTACTTTACATGTATTAATTCATTTAATCGTCACAAGGACCCTATAACATGCATGATGAGAAAGTGGGGCAAACACAGAGAAGTTACAGATCACACCCAAAAACAATGGCAGGGAAGATGTGGGGCCAGGTACTCCGAGGGCCCTACTGTGAACTGCTGTTATACTTGTGTCTCCCTGGAAGAACTAGGGCATGTAAACTGTTAGAAGGACATAGGATGCTACTCACAGCTTTTATATTGACAGAATATGGTGTTCTGGTAGTGAAAACAAAGCCAAGTTTCTTTGCTCCCTTCACTAAAGCTGCTTCATCTGTCAATAAAAAGTCTACATTAATGGAGATAGAGCAAACATATTAACACTGAACTTAGTAGAATACAGATTTCCATTCTCCAGTGCTAAAATATATCATTTTTTAAACTGTATTTTTGATCCAACTGTGATTATCTGTGCTTCTGGGTGCCAGATACTATTCATGAAAAAGGAAGTGCGTTAAATGGGGCTTTTTTCAGTGGGACTGAGATAAAAATCACTAGTCTGATGGTGAAATACTTTCTTAGTACTCATTATGGTTGTGTTTGTTCTCCTAGCCATTAGTAGCATCTCTACAAAATGTTGCAGGTCTTTAACTTTTTTTTTAATAATTCTTACATCATTTTTCATCTTTGCACAATGTATGCATTTTCATTATGGTTATATTCCCCCATACAATTGCTTCCCCCCCTTATTTTGACTCTAGTCCTTCCTCTCCCCGCTCCTCTCTCCCCCCTCCCCATAGTGTATCTCTGGTTTATAGTTGCTTGTTGATTTTGATTTTTACTTTGTATTGATTAGTCTTTTTCCTGGTCTCTTATTTAAGTTTTCTAAATTCTGCAGGGCCTTAACTTTACCCATGTTTTACTGAGAGCTTGTTTGGAGGTTCTAGCAGGGGAGTGCAACTGCTTATATACCCTTGATGGAAGAATGATCTGTCTATTAGGGGAAGAATGTCCTCCTTGACAGAGTATGCAGCTTGTGGAGGGACGCACATGGCGCACTGAGGGAGGAAGGGGAAACCTGCCTTTCCAGCCAGATCAGCCAGATCAAACCTGAAGGTCACTGTGGTGGCACATGTCACAACCAGATGGCCCTCCCCTCCATCTATGTCTTTATCGATATCACCAAATATTCTGCTGAACCCTAACTTCCTGAGACACTCCCTTCCCACACCCACTTCCTAAGAAGTTTTTGAGGATGTGGGGAGCAGCAACCCCACAACTGCAGAGCTGCACCATACCACAGTTACCCTCTGACTGGTAAGAACTTGAGGGAACGAGAGACACAGGAGCAACCAGGGTATCAGTAGGAGCATCACTTCTCCTGTCAGCTTATCACCTGCCAGGTGATCTCTGTGTATACTACACCTACCTGGGGAGGAAGCCTGGTAGATTATATTATTTCCATTTCTCTCTGGAATAACAGTGTGACACACACATAGCAGGGTAAGAAATTCTTTTATGTATTCATCTGTAGGCTACGAAAAAAAGGGATAGAGCTAGTAAGTCTCTTCCAATACCAGCAAAATAAGTTAGTGTGAAATTTGTACCCACTAAAGTTTCACTTCAGCTATAGAGTCAGATGTCAGCTAAAAACAATGTTGTGCTTTCACAACATGTATTTGTGACATGGCTACCAAGTCAGGGACACTACAGGATGCTGGAGAGATTACCAGGAATCAGACAACCCTCCCCTCTTGGAGCTTCTATTCTTCTTAGGAAGACAAGTTTTCTCAAAGTTGAAGGAAACAAATTGGGCTATAATAGAGACAACAGAAGCCAATTTTAGGTAGTTGGTTCAGGAAAAAGAATATTGAAATGACATTTTAATTGAGACCTAGAAGGAAAGGCTAGTTAGCTGTGTCAATTTACATGTGACAATAGCACTCAGTAAACAAAGGAAATAATACTTTCAAAGGCCCCAAGAGATAGATTCATATGTTTGTGGTGCTTCAAGACATGTATGACTTTAGTATCTTTATCAAGCAGAACAATGACACATGATGAGGTTGGAAGAAAGACCACAGTAATGAGTTTGGGTTTTAACTTAAGTGTGATGCTAAAGAAAGAGAAAAACTTTGCCCTAAAACTTGTCTTTGCCCTAGAACATTTTAAATTTGTATCACTTCATGATACTCAGAAGGTTTTTAAACCCATGGAAGGACCTATGCAGACTTATGTTTTAAAAGATCACCTCTGGTTTTGACAAGATCAGTATTTCAAATAAAGTATGGCCAATAGCTTAAAATAGGTAGGTAAAAATAGGTGTAGGTGCCAGTGGAGCCAAAGAGCTTAAAAGCAAATAGAAGTGGTCTTACATAGTCGGTACACAGTAAAGTGTTTTTTGTGTGATGGTTGAATTCACTCACACTAAGTTCAGTGCTCAGTTCACATGGGTACATGGATACCACACTCTATTACATTATATTATACTATACTAACATCAAAAAATTTACATACTTTCTCTTTTCTAGGCTCAGAAAATCATGCCTTTTAGGAAACCATATATACATTTCAAAGCTATACAGCATTGCCTTATTGACTTAGAATGGAAACAGCACACTTACATGGCCATTCTCTAAGTTCTCCAATAATGTTGGGTCATTAAAATCACAAGAATCTATGACAGAAGATGCCCTATTGAGGAAGAACAGAGAAGCATCTTGTTAACAAAAAATTCCTGACAGTGCCGGTTTGTAATCAGAAGTTCTAAAGCAACAAAGTGCCTTATCTGTTTTAGTAAGTCACACTTAAAAGTCTATAGAAAGTTTATAGAAATAGAGCAAAAATTTATACTACTTTCAAATTATGCATGCTCTCAGGCCCCCACTTGCAAATTGGCATTCGAAAATGCCTGAACTTGTGTTGAAAACTGTAGTTATAAGAATTTGAGAAAGAGTAACCATAAAAGCAATAAATTAAACACAAGATTGTGAATTCTTTGAACACCACATGGGAAAGATCTGTCCAGGGGAGCTCCCTGGAAGTCTAAACAATGGAGTTCTGTGGCAAAGGAGAAAAGAATGTTGTCAAATTACCTTAAGTCTTCTGTACCAACATCACCTGTGCTAGGCTGACTTCTAAGGGGAATGAAGGGAAAAATTAACAGTTACAAGAGTACAAATACAAAACTCCTTAGTAATTTAGGAACCATGTATAAACCATATTCTTTAACAATTGCAAGTTTTCACATAGGTTATATTAAGTTTCAATCTCATTTAACTATAGCTATGCTATTATAAACTCAGATACATTTTACAGTAAATAAAAATTAATTTTATTAAGCAAAAGAAGAGAATTCCAACAGAGTATGGGAATAAGAACACTTACCCATAAATTATACCTGCGATGGTACACATCTTAAATGTCATAATATTGCAAGTGAGGGTTCCTGTTTTATCAGAAAATAAGTATTTTACCTGAACAAAGAAAAAATTAGCATGAAATGATACAAATTTAAAATGTTTTAGGGCAGAGACAAGATGAAGTTCTTTCTCTTTAAATCCTTAAAATATGAATTTTTAGAAAACAAGAATCGCCACCTGTGAGAATTTTACCATTAATATTTATACTTTGTTAAGAGGTCATGCTCTTTATTTTACATAGTAGGTGTAAACCTATTGCAATATACAAATGAAAGTTTAACGCATCACACCTGTGAAAATCAGAAGTTTAAGTTCAGTTTTTTACCATGAGAATGTCCATCAAAAGCATCTAGACAACATTAAGTAGGTAGGTAGATGGATAGATGGATGAAGAAAGAGACTGATATCAATATAATATGTATATCAGATAAAAAAAACTAATTCAAAATAATTTTAATCATGACCACAAATATAATGCTCATTTCTAAAAGCACATGAAAATTCTTTAGATGATCACTTCTGCCTAACAAATAATGTGAAGTGCTATGGAGTTAAACAGTTTTAAGACTTCTGTATTATTAGGTGGGAAGAAGAGAGAGATACAAATATTACATTTTATTAAATATACTAACCAAAAAAATGATAAAATTCCAAAGCTATCATACATGTACACAAAAACACATTTTAAAAATGTGATTTTTAAGAGTCTCATACTCTGCCAACTGAGCTAACCAAGCTGCCAATATGATTTTTGAAAAGAAAATCAGGGCTGGAAAAGAGGCTCAGTAAACAAAAATTAAGACCAAAAATGCAATCATAGTAGCAAAACAGATGATAAAATTGAGGGCATAAATTAAAGATGTTAAGTAATGATAGAAGACAACATTATGAGGAAGAATGATGATCAACTCATACAAACTTCACAAAATATAAATAAACAGATAAAACACAAAAAAAAGTGATGAAGGTAAAGGATATTTAAGAAAATGCAGAACATTTCATTCAGTATTTCATATTCTTTTAGACCTTAATTTCAGATTTGAATAGGTAACATAAATAAGAAAATGCTAGCCATCAGTGTTTTATTATTAGAGAGGGAAAGTTAAAAGTAAAAAAATTCATATCATGCTCTCTTTAGAAATTACAGAGAAAATAATCGAAAGAAACCAGTTGGAGAAACTAATAAAAAAAACCCTGAAATTTATTAAAGGAAAAATAAATTAGTTGAAAAGATCAATGCAAATGTTGATTCTCTGGATAAATCAATCATACAAGTTGTAGGAACATTCTTTAGGAAAAGGGAGTATGAACATGAATGTGTGTGTGTGTGTGTGCTGGTAGTATTAAAATATATATCCTTTCTTTTTCATCTCTAATAACTGATGCAGAATATTTCTTAAATGTTTCTTGCAACTCTAACAAATTAAGAAAGCCAAAATGGAGAATTTCCTAGTAAAATATACATTGCCATATTAAAATAAGAAGTTGCACTTGGGAAGGCAAGTAAAGATCTATATTGAAAAGGGCAAAAGAGATCTTCCATTTTGTGTAATATTATGAACTAAATAACATGAACTGTCCTTCTGATGAAAACTAGGATAATGAAGGTAAAATATAAAAACTCATGTTTTAAAATGTATCAGAGTTTTCCCAGAAGTAAATGACCCTCAGAGGTCAAATTCAGAATTAAGTGTGGAAAGTATCAGGGAGTTTCTTCTCTCACCATGGATATCTAAAGTTTTCACCTTGAAGGCACACTGGAGTCAGAAAGTAGAAAGTAAAGCAATAGGCTGTCTCAGGTAGAAAATCTAATGCAGTATCCCTCATAATTCTGGCCAGAAGAGTGGGCCCTCAGAGTGAAAGTGAAAGAGAATGAATTTGCCTCATTAAATCTTGAGACAGGGTGGAAGAATGTGTTTCACTTGAGAATGTTAACAAAATTTGGCTTCTCTGAGGGCTTGTAGCCAAATTCTCTCAGTACCTTAAGAAGAGGATTTAAAGCAGCCATATGATTGGCAGAGGTAAATGCAAATGCTTTCTGTACAAATGCAACTTCAACCCAGCCTTCAAAGAATTCCTACCAAAAAAATTTCCAAGGATTATGGGGTCATAATTAAGTAAAGCACCCAAAATGAAAACCAGCAGAAAAATGAGAAATAGAATCAGATTCACAAATAATTAAATGCTGAATTTATTAGAATCAGAATATAACTAGATTTTGTGTGTGCTATTTTAAAGAATAATTTAAACACATGAACAAAGAAAAGGAAAATAAAAACAAAGTATATATTTTTTTTTCTTGACAAGACAAAGAAGAGATTCAGGGACAGTGATATCAGAGGAAGCTCCCTACTTCACTCCAGGGAGAATGGAGTGAGTGCCCAGATAGATACTGGACTCAGCAAATCCCACAATGCATGCTGGCAAATTCAGAGTCTCACCAAAAACTGGGGATCAGTACTGACTGCACAACAGAAGAGACTGTAATAGAATTTAAATTGGGGTAACAAAAGTGTGAGTAGGGGAGAGGCTTTCACCATGGAGGAAATTGTGGTTCATACCCACACTTAGGAAGAGCAAATTTGTTGTGGATCTAACCATGATGGGAGATACAGGTGATAGTTTTCGGGTGAGCCAGGCAAACAAGGACCAAATGAGGAAGATAAAGTTCAGAAGGCTCAACTCCCCCATCCATTTCTCTGAGAAGTGGGCAGATAAAAAGGCCAAGCAGATAACAGTGAAACTGCTATGGAAAGCGCAGGGAGCCACAGACTATAGAGACATGGGGTATGAAACCCAGACTGGAGCTAACAGCAGTAACAGGTTCAAGTCATGCACAAGCTCCCCAGCAGGAGACTCTCCTTGACCATCTCCTACCCTCAGAAGACCCAGCTCCGGGTTAGTTCTCCCTGACATACAGTGCCATCTACTAGAAAAGTTGAAGCTCTGCAACCTTAATTTTTAGAAAACAAATAATGGGGAGATGGAAAAAAACAAATAGTGCTTGAGTCCCGAAGGAATACTACACCACAGAGGGTGAATAAATCTTTCATCCATAAAGATATGGAAGATCTTTTCTTCCTGTCAGATACAGAGTAGAAAATTGCCATGATAAACAAGAAGTGCAAGAAACAGAAAAGATGATTATACAAGAAAACTCATAAAACAAAGGAATATCCTGAGAAATAAAATTAGTAAGCAGAAGACTGAAAATGAAGCTTTAAATAAAAAAATAATGGAGATGTAGGATGGAAAAAATGTCAATAGAAGAGATGAAAAATTCTGGAGAAAGCTTTGGAAGGAGAAGGCACCGAATGAAAAATTAAATCTATGACCTTGAATCTGGTAATGCACAAAGAGTACCGATGGAAGAAGAATGAGTGAAATGAAGGAGATAAAACTTAAGAAGCACTTCGAGAATTATCTAATTCAAAAAGGGAAGGCAATATAGGAAGAATGGGTACCTCAGAAAGGGGAAAATGAAAGAAGGAACAGAGAATTATTTAAATAAGTAATGCGGGAAAATGTCCAAGCCCGGAGAAAGAACTAAATATAAAATTCCATGCAGCTAAAGAAACATCCAGTTATCTAAACAGAATGAAGACACAACCTTCCATAATGTATGGGACACAGCAAAAATAGTACTAAGAGAAGATTACATATCAATACAGGCTCATATCAAGAAAAAGAGTTCAAATAAATAACCTTATCACTCACCTTAAGGAACTAGAAAAAGAACATATAAAACCAAAAGCCTGTAGAGGGAATGAAATTTTTAAAAATTAGAGCAGATAAATGAAATAGAAATCAAAAAGATAGTCCAGAAGACGAATTAAACCAAACATTGATTCTTTGAAAATTTAAGCAAAATGGAGACCTCTAGCTAAGGTCACAAAAAGGGGAGAAAACTCAAATAATTAGTATCAGAAATGAAAGAAAAGAAGTTACAACAGACATCTCACAAATTCAGAGGATCATGGAGATTACTATGAACATTTGTATGCTAATAAGTTGAATAACCTAGAGGAGATGGACAAATTCAAGAAAGATTCAGACCAATTACGCGAGCAAGGAAATTGAAGCAGTAACCAAAAGTTTCCCTAAAAACAAAATTCCAGTGCTAGATGGCTTTATTAGTGAGTTCTACCAAACCTTCAATGATGAGTTAATACTTAACCTGCTCAGATTCTTCAAAAATTTGAGAAAAAGTGAACACTTCGAAATAGATTTTAAGAGGGTAACATAACCTAATACCAAAATCATACAAATACCAAAAATCACACCAAGAAAACACAGAAAACAAACAAACATAAAGAAACTATAGACTAATTTCCCTAATGAACACAGAGGCAAAAATCCTCAATAAAATCTAGCAAACCATATCCAACAATGTATTAAAATATCATACACGATACCCAAGTGAGATTTATTGCTGGAACTCAAGATGGCTCAACATCTGTATATCAATCAATGTAATTCACTACATCAACAAAAGGAAAGAAAAAATCCATATGGTCATATCAATAGGTGCCAAGGAAGCATTTGATAAAATTCAATATCCATTTATCATTAAAACACTCAAAAAACTGGGGGTAGATAGTGGAACATACCTCAACATAATAATGACCATATATGATAAACCCACAGCTAACATCGTTCTTAATGGTGAAATACTAAAAGTTTTTCCACTAAGATCTGATATAAGATAAAGCTGTCCCCTTTCACCACTACTATTCAACATAGTATTGGTAGTCCTAGCTAGAACAATCAGGCAAGAGAAAGACATAAAGGAATGCAATTTGGGAAAGATGTAAAACTGTCATTATTTGCAGCTATATAATAATATATATTGACAATCCTAAAGATGCTATGGAAAAGCTAATGAAAACAATAAACCAAGGCCTCCCTCGTGGTCTAGAAGTTAAGTCTCAGTGCTGTCACCACTATGGTCTGAGTTTGATGCAGCAGACCTCTCCTGTGTTGCCCACTTCTCCCCTCAGCAGGGTAGTTCAGTAAATACACCTGTTCTGCTTCTCACTCTGTCTTGGTGAATCCTCTCACCCGCCCCTGCACCTCTGACCTACACCCAATTTTCATGCAAAAATATTTTTTAAAAAGTGAAAACACAATAAACCACTTAAAGAGTATCTAAATGTCTGCTGGTAAGCTAGTACCATTCCTGCCTCTTATATTGCACAGTCGAGAAACTCAAGACTTCCTTTATCCCAATCATTTATCGCAGGATTCCAAGTTAGGGTCTACCACTGAGAATAATTTTCAGCAAAAAAATTAGAAGTTATATTTTTACCCTTGCAGAGCTTTGGGCAGATGCATGGCTTTAGCACGTGTGAAATTTTGCAGCAACCTGTAGAAGCTCCTCTGAGTGTCATCTGCCTCAGGGAAGCAGGAAATGCCCACTACTGGCAGGTCCCAGGCTGGCTGTGACTCCATGAAAACTAACTGAAAACCCTAGAGTTAAGCCAAGCTTTCCCTATCTGCCCTTCCAGCTTTGTTTCACTCTTTCATAAACATATAACAACCTGCATTACATCTATTCTACTTGCCCCTCATGATGTAATAGTATCAATATTTGAACGAATTATACTTTTGAGTCTCCACAGGGTTTCCTGTGAACTATAACCTGTCACTGAATATGGCACTTTAACTTTGTGCAAATTCTCCCTAGATCCACCTTCTTGAAAGGTCCTATCACTCTCCCCAGACCCTGAAGAGCCCTCACCTGTCCAAGCTCTTCATTAAGATTGGATGTTCTGGCCATTGCATAGACATTATTTTTTTTATAATGCATATCTTCATCCTGCAAAAAGCAAAACAGCCAAACCACAGTCAGAACTAGGCTTAAAATTTCTTCAGGGTGGCTATACTACTATTTTTCTTTCGATGTGCCTGACATTTAGAAATAATTCACAAAGAAGCCTAGAATACTTAGATTTGAACTAATACTTGCTACTTTATCATATATTTTGGGAGAGTCAATTCAAGAGAAGTAATGCCATGTAGAAGCAAATGTTGCTGTGCTGGTGACTTGGAATTGGGAGTCTTGACATTCAAATCCTGGCTTTGCCTCAGTCACGCTGTAGGACCTTGGGTGTATCTTGCCTACCACAACTACAAAATGGGAGCAATGCCACAGATCTCACAGCAGAGCTATGATGATTAAATGTTAATGTTTTTGAAAGTATTTTGTCTCACTTTGTAGTTGTTAAAATAATGATGGTAGTAAGACACTAACACATTGAAAGGATAGTTTCTTTAAAAATATGAAAAATTATAACCCCATATTTAATTGAAAATATGTTCATTCTCATTTTTAAGAATTAACTGCTGTCAATATAGGGTTGTGACCTAAAAAACCTTCTCCTGCACTTGAAGTGATTCTGGAATGACTCTGCCACTATCATGCTTGCCGTGATCCAGAGATCTATTTTAAGTCTACAGGACTCTCTCCCACTATGAATATCTTAACTGTTAATGGATTGAATATTTCTCTACAGTTACAGTTAAGCTGCTGTCTCTTAAATCTTTCTTATCAGCTAGAAAAAGAACAGATATGAAAAAAATGGGGTCCTGAAGAGTGAGGCAGAGAAGCCCAGGCACAGCTCAGTCAGAATAACATTAATGCTAAGCTTGTTGAAAGCTTAACTGGCTCATTGGCTCCACTATCCCCCTCATAGGAATTCGGCTACTCCAATTTGTTAAAAGAAAACAAAACCCACACTCCAGAGAGATCTTTTAAAAACTCTGATTTTAGTACTCACCCAGTTTATAAATAGGGCCTGAGTGTATTTCACCATTTCTAAAGTGACCAGCAGACTAATGGGGATGAGATTGTGGTATAAGATGATGAACACCAATATGTCAAACAAAAAGCTATGGGGCTTGGAATCTGTGGAAGAAAATCAGAGGAACCAGATCTGTTTCAAGACATATCTTTATTCATCTTTGTTTGCATTATTACTCCTTAAATTTTCTCCATGAAAATTATAATTAAAAGTATAATTTGGTATAATAGTATTGGAAAACATTAAGCACCAACCATCTGATAGGGTGTATGGAAAACATGAAGATACAAGATTTAATAAGACCCTGCTCTCAGAGTACTTTAGATGTAGCCTAAGTAAGATGAGTCAGTAATTAAGGCACAATGTATTCCTGAGAGGGCTGAACACAGTGAGGCAACAACACAAACTGGAGGACATAGAAAAGAGTAGCCAGAGAAGGAGGTAAGCAAAATTTTGAAGAAGGGACTTTGTTAAAATGTAAACAACAAAGGGAAGGGAATGAAGAAGAAGCAACAGAAGGTTTAAAGTCAACCAGATTATTATCATTATTTTTAAAACTCACAAGAAGGAAAGTGAAGCCCCCCCCAAAAAAATTAATAGATGAATATGACACTTTGTAAAATCAGGTGATGTACTTATTTTTAAACAGGTGTGTTTAAGAAAGTCATTTTCAAATAAGAATTCAACCTGATTTCCCAGAAATTTTCTCTAAAATTTCGAAAAGGTGTTCAGGGAACGAATAATACACTGATTTATTTATGTCTTTCTGAAACCTGAGTCTCAATCTTACATTTAAAATTTACATAACAGAGTTATGAGAGAATGGGTTATAACTGAAGAGAACGAAATACAAATTAATTTATAAAGAAGATAAATTTAATAGAAATCTGTATACAGACAAAATTAATTTTTTTAAAGATTTATTTATTTATTTATTTATTTATTTATTTATTTATTTATTTATTTATTTATACAAGCACTGGGCACAGTCAGAAGCACGGGAGGGTGAGAGAATTCACCAGAGCCAGAGCAGGGAGCAGAACAGGCAGACTGACGAAGTACACTACTGAGGGGAGCAGCGGACGGCACGAGAGGTCTGCGTGCCATGTGGGACCCTCCTCTGTGGCTGGGGAGCAGCCAGGTATCGAACCGGCACTGAAGAGGCTGCAGGCAGCTTCACAACCCAGTGCTCAACCGCTGCGCCACCAGGGGAGGCCCCAGACAAAATTAATTTTAAATTGAAATTTTATATTCATATTTGAGAATACTTGTAGTTTAAGATAATAGCAGCTAAATCTATTTTCTTTTTTAATATTTTATTTTATATAATTCTTACATCATTTTTCATTTCTGCACAATGTATGCATTTTCATTTTGGTTATATTCCCCATACAATTGCACCCCCCCATATTTTGACCCTAATCCTTCCTCTCCCTACCCCCACCCTCCCTGGTTTATAGTTGCTTGTTGATTTTGATTTTTACTTTGTATTAATTAGTCTTTTTCCTGGTCTTTTATTTAGGTTTTCTAAATTCCTATAGCAGATAAATCTAAACTTCTAAATTCCATCAACCAAAATGTGAAATTTAATTCACTATCACATCTATTCAAACTCCTATCATTCTGAGTTTACTAATGCTCCCTTATTTGCAATGGCTATATTTTTATGCTTACAGTATTACTTTATGATCATAAATATTTTAAGAAAACTAGAGGCAGATATTACTATAACCATTTTATGGACAGAGAATTGGAGACAAATATGTAGTGCTTTGTTAGATTTATTAATTACTGAAAATGCAGTTACAACTTTAATAAGCCAATGTCTTATTCTTTTAGAGTTTCCTAGGCAGATTGGAATAGTCCAGAGACAGTTATGGGTTCTTATTCCAAACAAACCACTGACTTCTGTGCATTTTGGTATGCACACAGAATCTGTAACAAAGGAATTGAACAAGAAAACTATAGAAATAGAATTCTGTTCCACTCTATAGTTACTACTTTTAGCAAGACTGAGTTCCGAGTATGAAAAGACACTGTTCCTGGAATTAAGGATATAAAGATTCCTGTCCTGAAAAATTCACAATCTAGTATTGACTTGGGGAGAGGAGAGATCAAAAAACAATAATTATAAAGCATGAAAATGGAATGATCCCTATTAAGGATAGTTTATAGAAGTCCATGAGAGCTCCTAACTTTAAAAAAAAAGTTTCAGGATATATAAATATAAAAATGCTCCTGAAGGAGGTAATGCCTTATCTTAAGTCTAAAACCAATGGCAAATATCTAGGCAAGATGGGACTTGAAGCACAGGAGCCCTGGACCAAAGGTCTAGAGATAATGAAGCAGCTAGTGGACTGAAGAATGTCCAAAGAGACCAAAAAGCAGTCCTCTGTGAATAGAGAATATGTGCTGAGGAAGAAGTGTTGAGAAATCAAGTAACAGAGATAGGGTCAGGTTATAAAAAGTCTGATGAGCCAGACTAAAGGAGGTTTATCTTGACCTTGTGGGCCAGGAATCAGAAAATATGTCCTCTAATAATCCAAGGGTATATATTTTAGGTTTTGTGGGCCATCAACATGGTCTCTGTTGTAAGTATTCAACTCTGTTATAGCAGGAAAGCAACCATCAACAATACATGAAAAGTGTAGCTGTGTGCCAATAAAACTGTATTTACAAAAACAAGCAGTAGTTTGCCAACCCAGTCCACCAATAGGACACCACCAAAGCTGTGATATATTCATAACTACTTTTTATATGCATCCTTCTGGAAAAGTGTGAAGGATGAATTTTGTGGAACATGTCTGAGAACTGGGCAGTTAGAAAGGACTGTGGTGTTTTCCAGGGATGAAAAGGAGAGTGCACAGGAAAACTATTTAAAATGTAGAATCAGCAAAGCTTTGTGACAGATTCGATGATGAAAGCTAAAGGATGAGAGTGGGGAGGAGAGGCCGAAGTTGAGAAGGAGGGGTAAGAATGAGCTTTATCAGCAAAAGAGACAATAACAAAAACAAAGAGAAACCCCACCGACTGGGAGAACATTTTTGCACACAACACTAATGATAAAGGACTGATCACAAAAATATGCAAAGAGCTGATGAGACTCAACAAAAACAAAGAAAATAATCCAGTCAAAAAATGGGCAGAAGAGCTAAAAAGAAACTTCTCTGAAGAGGAAATGCAAATGGCCAACAGACATATGAAAAAATGTTCAACATCACTTGTAATCAGGGAAATGCAAATCAAAACTACCATGAGATACCATCTTACACCAGTGAGAATGGCACATATTAAAAAAACTAGCAACAACAAATGTTGGCGAGGGTGTGGAGAAAAAGAAACTCTCCTACACTGCTGGTGGGAGTGCAAACTGGTCCAACCACTATGGAGAGCTGTGTGGAGATTTCTTGACCTCCTAAACATGGAGCTTCCATATGATCCAGCAATTCCACTCCTAGGTATTTACCCAAAGGACACAGAAACATCAATTCCAAAGAGCACCTGCACCCCTATGTTTATAGCAGCACTATTTACAATAGCTAAGCTTTGGAAACAACCCAAATGCCCAAAAATAGATGACTGGATCAAGAAGATGTGGTACATATACACCATGGAATATTACTTAGCAATCAAAAAAGATAAACACATGCAATTTGCAGCAACATGGATGGAGCTGGAAGGGATCATGCTCAGCGAAATAAGCCAGAAAGAAAAAGAAAAATACCGGATGGCCTCACTCATAGCAGGAATCTAGAAAACTTAAATAAGGGACCAGGAAAAGGAAAACGAATAACTATAAGAAAGTGAAAATCAAAATCAACAAAAAACTACGAACCAGAGACACTTTTAGGGGGGCGGGGGTGGGAGGGGAGGAATTGGGGTCAGAATGGGGGGGCTGCAATTGTATGGGGAATATAAAAATAAAATTTATTATTAAAAAAAAAAAGAAATAAAATATCAAAATCAACAAACAACTATGAACCAGAGACACTCTATGGGGGGTGGGGGGTGGGGAAAGGAGGGCTTGGGGTCAAAATAAGGGGATTGTAATTGTATGGGGAATATAAAAATAAAATTTAAATTAAAAAATAATGTAAAAAAAAAAGAATGAGTTTTATGTTTCCACCTTGGATGATGGTTGGATGGTGAGATCTACAAATTAAATGGAGAATATTGAAAAACAAAGCTGATTTAGGGGGAAAGATGAATTAATTTTTTACTTGCCGAAGTAAGAAAACTACATGATATCTGGAAAGCAGTAGGCTGGAAGCAACAGATAGAAGACATCAACTGATGGATGACAGTTGAAATTATTAGAGCAGGTAAACTCTTCTAGACGGATTAGCTTATGTAAGACATTTAGCCCCAAAGAAGCTGATGAAGGCTCTCTGCAGAATACGCACACACACAAACACACAATTTTTTTCACAAAATTTCAGGGGTATGGACCCAAGTTAAATAAATCCTGGTGGAGGCCAGAATCCTGAAAAAATACAAGCTAAGTCAAGGTTTCATAAAACAAATAGTTAAGAAAGAAATAATTGTAAGTCAGACAAAGATGGCAGAGACCCAACCAAATAGCAATATAAAAATGTCCACTGGGTTTGGCAATTAAGGATTTATTCCTAACCATGAGCAACAATTCAATAGACTGGCAGAAATAGACAATGGACAATGGACCCAAGAGTAAACAATAGGTAAGGAAATGGAAGTGGTGTGCGTTATCTCTTATTTCAAGAAATCTGATTGAGAAGGGAAGGGAAGAAAAGATCATTTGTATGAAGTGCAGAACTTGAAACATCAACATATGAGAGACTTTTGTAAGCTTTTATTTCAAAATAACATGATACATTAAATAAGCAATTTTAAATCCTGCTTACTTTTAAAAAAAACTTCTTAGACTGAACTCAAAACTGGATGCATAATATCTAAAAACTCAGATTGCATCAGAATGAATTCTCAATTTTTGATCCTATCAACGAAGCTATATTTTGGTTTCTTTAATTCTAAAATACTCCCAAAAAGGTTCTCTCAAGCAAAGTTAGAGAAATATAAAATCCTCAGGTAGTGGACTTAAAAAGGCAGAAATATGTATAATAGTTTACTCTGCAAACATGGAAAGACATTTTTTAAAAAGCTGAGCTTCTAGCATCAAACACCAATTTACCTCATTGAATCTTTGCTAAAGGTCAGTTTGACCACTGAGTCCCCTTTGTACCCCTTGTCCTCATTTTCTTGGGGCTGTTCATTGTACAGGAAGCTATATACTAATCAAAGGAGGCAGTTATTATCCCCTTTTTCAAATGAATGAAATAAGGTTCAGAGAAATAAAAACACCTTGCCCTAGTTCTAATCACTGAGGAAGAGTCAGAGACTGGGTGCAGGTATATCAGACAGAATCTCCTGCATCTGCCTGACTCCCGATCTCGTTTATTCTTTTGACTCAATGTTTTTGTGTCCTTTGGGTAGGTCCCTAGGAGTGGAATTGCCGGGTCGTATGGTAGCTCCATTTTCAGTAGACCGAGGAAACTCCAGACAGCTTTCCTTAGTGGCTGGACCAGTTTGCACTCCCACCAGCAATGTAGGAGAGTTCCTTTTTCACCACATCCTCGCCAACATTTGTTGCTTGTTTTTTGGTATGTGCCATTCTTACTGGTGTAAGGTGGTATCTCAGTGTGGTTTTGATTTGCATTTCTCTAATTATAAGGGATGTTGAACATTTTTTCATATGCCTGTTGGCCATTTGCATTTCCTCTTTGGAGAAATGTCTTTTAAGTTCTTCTGCCCATTTCTTGACTGAATTGTTTGTTTTTGTTGAGTCCTGTGAATTCTTTGTATATCTTTGTGATCAGTCCCTTATCAGTTGACTGGGGTGCAAAGATTTTTTCCCAATCAGGGGGTGTCTCTCTGTTTTGGTTAATGTCTCTTTGGCTGTGCAGAAGCTTTTCCATTTGATGTAATCCCAGGTGTTTATCTTTTCCTTGACTATCTTTGCTTTGGGTGATGAGTCTTTAAAGATGTCATTGCAATGTATGTCTTGTAGTGTTTTACCTATATTTTATTCTATATATTTTATGGTTTCAGGTCTTATGTCCAGTTCTTTTATCCATTTTGAGTTGATTTTTGTGCAAGGTGAGAGGTAGTGGTCTAGTTTCATTTTTTTGCGTGTGGTGGTCCAGTTTTCCCAGCACCATTTATTGAACAAACTGTCCATGTTCCATTGCATATTCTTTGCTCCTTTGTCAAAGATCAGTTGTCCATATACGTGCGGTTTTATTTCTGGACTCTCTATTCGATTCCATTGGTCTGTGTGTCTGTTTTTGTTCCAATACCAAACTGTTTTAATTATTATGGCTTTGTAGTATAGCTTGAAGTTTGGAAGTGTGATGCCTCCTTTCTCCTTTGTTTTCATCAGTAGGGCTTTGGCTATTCGTGGTTTTTTGTGGTTCCATATGAATTTCATCAGTATTTGTTCTATTTCTTTGAAGAATGTCATTGAGATTTTTATTGGAATAGTGTTGAATCTGTATATTGCTTTTGGTAGGATAGACATTTTAATAATGTTACACTCTCCTTTATTCTGTAGTATCAGGATTATGTGAGATTAGCAAAACAATCTCTAAAATATCTTAAGAAGGAAACCTTCTATTTCTAAATCTCATTAATCCTCAGTTTCCCAAAAAGAAAAAACAACCATTCTTGGCAAAATGGAAGGTTCTTTTGCCCCTGTGGTACTTACCCTTCATCTGGATGTACCAACTGCCTTCTCCATGCTTTTTATTCCAGAGTATGGCTCCTGCAGTGCTTACCAAGGACATGAGCACAAGTAGCCGGAACAACACCAGGATCTGCTCATTGGTCACTTTCTCAACTTCTGATCTCTTGAGAGGAGATTGAACTGAATTCTGTACAACAGTATGCATGTGCACGCACACACACACGCCAAAAACATACACAAATAAATAAAGGAATGATAGTGTTTAAACTTTTTGATGGCTAGAGGTCAAACATTCCAGCAATTGAAAAGTACAGGTTTTTCCAAATGACTAATAGATTAAAAGTATGCCACATTGTTGAATGAACGTGGCTTTTCTACTACAGTCCTCGGAAGCATCATTTACTAATTCATAGAAAGCATATTCACATGGTAGATCTATCATCTTAAAGTCCTAGGGTGCTTACAAAACCAAATGTGGTAAATCTGACAGTCTAGATGATCTTCTGTATAGGCAAACAAACAAACAAAGGACCTCACTAATGTGTGGCCTTTCCCACTTGTAGTTATCAAATTACTTCCAGTTTAAAAAATCAAGGAAAGATAACTTTCATCTGAGCCTGTTGGGAAAATATTCAAGATATTATCAGTACCATATTGCTCTAACACATGCAGATTTTACAGAAGCAATTGCTGGGGTTAAGGATACACAGGGCATTTTAAATGGTAAAGTTCAGATTTGTCCATAAATTTCTGCCTAACTGCCTGAAGAGGTTTATTGCAACATTAGCTACACACACACTCACACTCTCACACACCTTTTCAATCATATTTTATCAGATTATATTTACCATTTCCATACTGTAATTAAAATGTACAAATACAAATGCTCAATTTTCAAGTTATGAAAATAGAGTTAGGAATCCAAAATGCTCAAGTTTCTTACAAAGCATAGAAATATATAAGATGAAAAAAATATCCTAGGGGTAACTGTATTAAGCATAGACGAGGACATCATTATAATTATAAATAGATCCACATATATTTATACATGTATACATTCAAAACAAATTATGTTATTTCCTCTCCTTGTTTAACTTCTACAAGTAATGGCTTCGACTGCTGTGCAATATACAATAATTTTTGGCTAAATTTGTGGGCTTTAAAATCATTTGGTAAGTAAATATTTACATTTACTATTCCCAAAGGCATGAAAAACCTGTCTTTGAGATTTTTGTTATTCCAGTGATACAGTCAGCTGTGTCAAGAGTATAATAACTCTCGCGATGATCTAGATTCATGAAATGATGTCACAGAGGAGGATGAACTTTACCATGAGCTGCAGAATGTTTAAAGTTATATTAGGGATTGAAATCTTAGCTGATATATAATGCTGCCATGAAATCATTAAGTAGTACAACAGCATTATTTAAAGATAATTGGATGCAAAAATCATGTCCTGTTTAAGAGGAACGCATTTTCACAATTGAATCACACGTCGTGGAATCTCAGTCGATCTTGGTTCACCGTCCAAATCGGAACTTCTATTTGTGGGTGAACTTGTGCTGAAATCATTGTTTGAGCCTGGGTTCCTTAGAAAAGAGAATCTGAGGAAAATCTAGTGCATTATTTCAGGATAGAATAATGCCAGGACAGGAAGTATAAGAGGAAAAGGAAAGCAAGACAGAGAATGGGGAAGGAAATACAAGTAGTATGTTACTGAGCTGACTATAGCTTAGTTAAAAATGTACCAAGTTCCTCAGTGATGTGGGCCCAACTTTTATGGTTATTTTCACACCACGCCTTGTTTTCTTCTCTGCCATCTGCTCCAGCCATACTGAGTTGACTCATCGAGTGTCCTATAGACACATGACATACACTTGGCCTAAGGGTCTCTTACCTGCTTCCCCTTCTGTATTATCTTCCTATTCCCTTCACATTTCCATCTATTTTCCTGAGCCTTCAAGTCTCAGTGTATAAGCCACTTTCCACATAGCCTCAATGGAGGTTGGATGGGACTCCTATGTATATACCTGGCTTCCTAGACTTAGCCCTCCTTGTTAAGGTACTGCATTGCCTTGACTATCTACCGTCACACATGATAAGTAACAAGAACAGGAATCAGGCCTTGTTGCCAAGGTTTTAGCACAGTGTCTGATAGTAAATAGGTGCTAAAGAGCTATCAGTTGAAGAAACAGTCAAAGCCCAGTGCTGGGTTTTAGCAATTTGGAAACTGGGCAGACTGTCAAGCTACTTCTCATTAATAATAAATTTTCAGGAAATCTCTAGTACAAAACAAAATGTCCTGAGGGATTCTCTAAAGATAACAACTGAGAAAATGGTACATGATAACCATGTCTTACATAGAACTTCTAATGTCATTCTGGCCAAAAATAATGATAGTATCATGAATGGAAACCATATAAAACAGAAAATGAAATGAAACCACATAAAACATATTTCAATGTTAATAAATAGAACAAATAAAAACAAGCTTCTTAAATTCAAGAGATATATACAAACCCCCTCACTTCCCAAAAGCAGAAAGGAAAATCTAGAAGCAATACTATTTGTCATCAATATAATTTTACCTGCATCAGTTTGGTTTCGAACCCAGAGTAAACAACTAAACCAAGGATCCACTCAGTATTTTTAAGCCGAGTACCTCTTAGCAAAATCTGGTCAGGTCCAATTGGAATAGGGCTAAAAAAAAAAGCATTAATTAAAAATTAATACAATTGAAATAAAATAACTTACACTTTCCATTTGTATTTAAGATTTTTCTTTTAACAATTACATTGGTGCCTCAGAATGTTTCAAAATCAAGCAAAATAATAAAAAGTATGTTGTTTTACCACATTGGGATACCACCTTACACCAGTAAGAATGGCACATAGCGAAGAAAAAAAAAAAACAAGAAACAACAAATGTTGGCGAGGATGTGGTGAAAAAGGAACTCTCCTACATTGCTGGTGGGAGTGCAAACTGGTCCAACCACTATGGAAAGCTGTCTGGAGGTTCCTCAGTCTACCATAAATGGAGCTACCATACGACCCGGCAATTCCACTACTAGGAATCTACCCAATGGACACAAAAACATTGATTCAAAAGAACACCTGTACACCTATGTTTATTGCAGCACTGTTTACAATAGGTAAAACCTGGAAACAACCCAAATGCCCCAAAATAGATGACTGGATCAAGAAGATATAGCATATATACACAGTGGAATATTATTCAACAATCCAAAAAGATTAACTCATGCCATTTGCAGCAACGTGGGTGGAGCTAGAAAGAATTATGCTCAGTGAAATAAGCCAGAAGGAAAAAGAAAAATATCAGATGGTTTCACTTACAGCTCCAATATAGGGAGACCAAATAAGACATCAATGTAAAAAAAATAATTACAGTACAAAACACAACAAAGCAAAAAAGAATAATTATAAATCAGAGACATCCTGCAGGGGAGGAGGAAGGAGAGGGATCAGAGGGAGGGAGGGAGGAGCACAGGGGACTGAGGTGATGACGCACGGGCGCATTGGGGAAGGAAAATAGGGACTACACCTGAGGGGGTGGGGGGCAGCAAGTATTGTTTAAAAATGAACAGTGATGTAAAAAAATAAAAAATTAGTATAAAAAATATTTTATAGTGTTATAGATATCAAGACAGACACCAAACTTTCCATTAAATTCTAGAAGAGAATAAAGGAACATGGGAAAATAAAATAAAATAAAATAAACTGTTTTAAAAAAAAGTATAGTATATTATTTTAAAATGTTATTGAGAGAACAAGAACTGCCACATTCTATATTCCAGAAAAGAAGAAGAAATGTTTGAGAAGGGAAAGATGATACCTTTTACCACTTAGGTACAAGGTTCCAATGAAGCTATTAAAGTGACGATTAGGACCTTCACATATTATTTTTCCATACAGGTTTGACAATTGCTTTTCTGTTTTCATTTCAGCTGTTTCTAACAAAGCCTACAAAATAATGTCAAAGGAAAATAATTTTAATGGCAAAGTTCAGTGCTTTTATTACTTAATAAAAGATTATGAAAGTCAATGTATTGTACTTACCAGATAATAAACAATATACATTTAGACTTTAAACTTTGGTAGAAAACTTTCCCACATCAACATTGTAGAAATAATTTTAATAACATTCACAGAAATAGGAAAGTTCAGCTTTCACCATCGCTATACAAAAATACATTTTTGAAAGTGTAATCACTATATCCAAATATCATGTAGGGTTTCATACATTTATGTCTTAGCTGATGATGCTAAGCTGTGAACATTTTGAGTAAAAAGGATCTAGGACAGTGATTTCAGACTTTTGTATGCATCACATTTCTGTAGAGGCCCTATTATTAAAATACAGATTGCTGGGATATATCCCAAACATTATTTTATTCAGTGTTTGGAGTGGGGTATCATAATTTGCATTTCTAAACCTCCAAGAGGATGGAGATGCTGGTCCTGGGATCACACTTTGAGAACTGTGGATCTAGAGAATGGTAATTACAATAAAAAGATCTCAGCCTTCCAAAAAGAAAAGACAAATCATCTCCAGGATAGAAAGTATCAAATTTCATCAATCTTACTAATACAAGATACAGGAACTTAATGGATATTTAAGTAGTGAAATTAAAGACCATTAAATCTACAATGTTATATAGTTCCAAATAACAAATATGAGTTTAATACATTTCATTTCAGTCATTCATACAAGGTCTTAGAAGTTTTGACACTCAGAAACCTACATTGAAACAGTTGGGAATAAACTTCTGTTCCTCAAAAGATACTTTAAAGAAAGCATAACAGCAAGTTATTAATTGGGAGAATACATTTGCAATGCATACAATTGACAATCACTATGAAAAATATATTTTAAAATCCTATATATCAATAAGAAACTAAAATATCCCAATAGAAAAATGAACAAACAACATGAACAAATATTTCTCAAAAGAAGAAAATATATATTACCAATGAAACCAGAAACACAAGCTCAAAAGTGATATTTTAACTGAAGAGAAACAAGAGAAATAGTATTACCATATAGCAATAGAGGCTAAGAAAAATTAGTAAAAGATTTAATATTCATCCTAAAAAAATGTAGCACTCTAAAGATAAGGAAATTCACCAAATTTGGTAAAAGAGAGCTACCAGAAACAAAAGCAACTGTCAAACTTCACTGTAAATTATTAGAAGCATTTCCACAGCATTCTGAGAGAAGAGACTAGGCACTATCAATTACTTTCAGCTGCTCTGGAGTTCCTAGGGATTGCTTTGAGAAAAGTGGAAAAAATGAGGTATTATTAATGTTGGAAGGGAAATGACCCAACTGTTAGAGAAAGGATTTACTACCTGAAAAAGCCTATGTGCTTGACTTAAAAATCATAAAAATATCTGAGAGTTTAGTAAGAGGGCTGGATATAGGATCAATAAACAAAATTAAGTATTGATATAACAGTTTAAATACTCATCCACTAGAGAACATCTGGTTATCCATAAACATTTGTGTAAAGGTTTTTGTGTGAACATTCTCATTTCTCTGAAATAAATGCCCAGCAGTGCAATTGCTGGACCATCTGATAGTTAAAGGTTTAATTATACACAAAATTAACAAAATGTATTCCAACTGGCTCTACCATTTTATATTCCATCCACAATGTATGAGTGATCCAATCTCTCCACATCCTTGCCATCCTTTGTTGTGTAACTATGTTGAATAGACATGCTTGTTTTGTTGCCAGTCTTAGGAGAACTATATTTAGTTTTTCATCAGTAATATGTTGATTGTAAGTTGCTTTTAAAGACATTCTTTGCTAAATTGACAAGGTTCTTTTATCTATATTTCTGTGATTTTTTTTATCATGGATTGACATTGCATTTTGTTAAATACATTTCATGATGGATTGCTAAAATCATTTGATTCCCCCCCCCTTAATCTGTTAATGTGATGGAATACCAGGATTGATTTTCATTATTAAACCAACTTTCCATTCCTGGAAGGTTCTTCATATATTGCAATTCTGTTTACTAGCACTTTTTTTTTAATTTTTGGTTTTCAAATTTTGTATTTTTTTACATCATTTTTCATTTTTGTACAACGTATGCATTTTCATCTTGGTTATAGTCCTCGTACAATTCAAGGGAGAACATTAGTCTGTAGTTTGTTTTTGATTTTTAATTATTGGTTTTGTACTATCTTTGTCTGGATTGAGTATCAGAGTAATACTAGCTTTATAAGATGAATTGAGAAGGATTTGATCCACTTCTGTTTTATGGAAAATATTCTGCATAATAGGTTTTAATTTTTTCTTTACATGTTTGGTAGAGTTCTCCAGTGAAACAACCAGGGTCTAGGTATTTCTTTTAGGGGGAGTTTTTAAATCATTGATTCAATTTCTTTATTCTTACTAAGACTAAATCAATTTATCTCAAGATGCTTTCATATTATCATTGTTATTGATTTCCAGCTTTATTCCATTGTAGTTGGAGAATACAATCTCTATTATTTCAGTGAATTTTGTGAGGTTTATTTGAGAACATTGATATTTTCTGTCTTGGGGCATGCTCCACGATCACTTGCAAATTTTGTATATCCTTTTGTCATTGGTATTGTCCTAAAATATTCTGTTATGTGAGAGAATTGTTGAAGTTTCCTATTAGAATTATTTGTATATTTCTCCTTTCAGTTCAATCAGTTTTTTTTTAAAGATTTATTTTTATTTATTTATTTTATTTATTTATACAAGCACTGGGTACAGTCAGAAGCGTGGGAAGGTGAGAGAATTCACCAGAGCCAGAGCGGGGAACAGAACAGGCAGACTGACGAAATACACTGCTGAGGGGAGCAGCGGGCGGCAGGAGAGGTCTGCGCGCCATGTGGGACCCTCCTCTGGTCGCCGGGGAACAGCCGGGGATCAAACTGGCGCTGCAGAGGCTGCGAGCAGCTTCGCAACCCAGCACTCAACCGCTGCACCACTGGGGAGGCCCTCAGTTCAATCAGTTTTAGTGTCACATATTTTGCACATTTTCACATAAATTTTACACTTTTTAATGCATAAAAATCAGTATTGCTATTCTTCTAGATGAATTGACTTTTTTATCATATGTTTTAAAATGTTCCTCTCTGTCTCTGGTATTTTTATTTGCTTTGAAGTCTACTTTATATGATTATAAAATGATTTATTTTGATTAATCTGTGCTTAATATAAATCTTTCCATTGTTTTACATGTAACCAGCCTGTACCATTATATTTGAAGTGAATTTCATGTAGACAACATCTAGTTGGGTCATGTTTTCTAATCCAATATTTTAAAATATATATCAAGATAATATACATTTAATTATTGACTATCCTCTGGATTTTGTTGCTTTTTAAAATAAAGATTAATTTATTATCTTTTTAAATTGAGATAATATTAGGATATCCACATCAGGTATTGCCACCGTGGTGCACCCACCACCAGATCACCCATAGTTCAACACCATAGTCCATTGTACTTTTCCCTCTTCGTCCTTACCTTTTCCTAATCCCTCACAATACTATTTGGTCAGTTCTATTTCCCATTACTTGCTCCTAGATTTTTCATCTTCTGTATTTCTCTTCTGTACCCTGAATCACCAACATTATATTTTCTACTTGCTGATTTTATTTCTAAGGACATTCATTTTTTGACATTTTCTTGGTATTCTTCCATTTCTTTATCATACAGTTTTAAACTCTGTATCTAATAGGAGGAGCATTTCTTCAATGTCTTTGAAATTGGATTCAAAGTTTTATTCTGTGTGATGATTATTCCCACTGACTCATGTGGCCATTTCTTGGGTTTCTTCTTCTTCCCGTTATTTGCTTTGGGACCCAGCTACTGTAGGTGGGGCTTCTACTGGCAATGGCTTCTCTCTTCTTTCTGGTCTTGCATCTTACTGGTCTCTGCAGAAGTTGGAGGGGGCTCCTGGAAGACTGTGAAAACTGGGGCAGCTCTTGTACTTTTCTGGCAAGAATCTGGGACCTCACCTGTTCAGACAGGCACTGACAGGAGGTATTCTGGGAAGTCACAAGCTGGATTTTGTTCTGATTTCCTCTTCCTGCCTTCCTGTGTTATTTGAACATTTTGATTTATTGATGGTGTTCTTTCATTGTTTACCTTTGTTTCTGTATATGCTATTTTAGTGGTTGCTCTCAGCATTTATACAAATATTTTCACAGTCATTTTACAAGTTTGAATAAAATATAAAAGCATTGCTTCCTTTGATGTTACTTTACCTTCCTCGATATAAAAAATATCTTAAATATTTTCTCTGTGTAACCTAGAACCACATCACATAGTTTTATAATGTTTGCTTCAAACATCAAACATAATTTAGAAACTCAAGAGAATTAACGTCTATTGTACTTAAGATTATTTTTACTTATCATTTTTCCCCTCTTTCCTTATGGTCTATTTTATTGCTTTCCATTTGAATGCCTTCTTTAGACATTCTTTTAGAGTAGGTATTCTGATAACAAATTCTTAGTTTTCCTTCCTTTAAAAATACTTTAGTTTCCCCTTGAAGGATATGACTTAACAAATACATTTTTTCTTCATATAACTTTTTTAAAAATATTTATTTATTTATACAAACACTGGGCAAGGGAGGGTAAGAGAATTCACCAGAGCGGGGAGCAGAGTAGGCAGAAGGACCGAAGTACACTGCTGAGGGGAGCAGCGGGCGGCAGGAGAGGTCTGCGCGCCATGTGGGACCCTCCTCCGGTGGCCGGGGAGCAGCCGGGAATTGAACCAGCGCTGCAGAGGCTGTGGGCAGCTTCGCAACCTAGCGCTCAACCGCTGCGCCACCAGGGAGGCCCCATATAACTTTTTATGAAGAACTTTCATAACTTTCATAACTTTCATTCACTGTTCCCTCCAAGATCTTATGACATGAATATTAACTCTTCGGTTATATTCCCACAACTCCCTGAGGCTCTTTTCACTTTTTTCCCCAATCTGTTGCCTCTGTTTTTCAAATTAGCTGATTTCTATTATTGTATCTTTCAATTCACTGAGTCTATTTTATCTCTTCTATAATGCTGTTGAGACTATCCCTTGAGTTTTATATTTCAGTTCTTGTATTTTAAGTTCAAAAATTTCCATTTGGTTCTTCTTTATATCTTCTATTTCTTTGCTGAAACTTTCTGCATTTTCATGTTTTAAACATCTTTGCGATTGCTCATTGAAACATTTTTATGATGTTGCTTTTAAAATCTCTGTCAGATAATTCTAACAACACTGTTATCTTGGTGTTGCTATCAACGTGTCATCTTTTTCTCATTGAGTTTGAGATCCTCCTAGGTTTAGGGGTGATGAGTGACCTTCCGGTAAAACTTGGGCAATTTGGGTATTATCCCTGCAGGCCTCCATTGATACATTCCTGAACTGACGGGGTTGGAGTAGCTTGTTACTGCTGTCCACATGGTCTCCACTGACACTGTGAAAAGAGGGGAGGGCTTCATTACCATATTACCATCCTTGTTATGGAATGAAAGTCCTGGCTTTCTATGTGGACTTCTCTGACGCTACCCTCATGGAGGAAAAGGGATACCTCATTATGGCCTGATAAAGGTGAAAGTGTAAACTTCCTGCTTAATCTTTTTTTGGCATGGGTAAGAGTGGCCATTATTGACAGAAGTAAAGTGGCCATTGTCTCAAATTTTCCAGTCTTCTGAGCCTGCTCCTTTTTTAGTCCTTTGACTAGAAAAAGAAGGCTTTTGTTGGTGTATGTGTATGTGTGTGCATGCATGTATCTATTGGTCTTTCTGGGTTCCTGGCTTCTTCTGCAAAAGGCAACCCCAGGGAACTCACCACCATGTTGTTCCCTGGGTTCCAAGTTCTGCCATCTGGCTTCTTTTGTCATTCAGTCTTCTTACATTCCCTATATAATGCCCAATGTATTTGGTTGTACTTAACAGAAAAAATAGAGAAAGGTATGTCTAGTCCATATTCCCAGAAACAGAAGTCTGTAACTGCATTTTTAAAAATCAAGAAGGTTCCATGAAATTATTAATAATAATTAGCATTAGGGTTAAAGATGGAATTTGGAAGCTGAAGAGAGTAAAATAGATTAAGTTTCTGTATTATTTATTTGTTTTTATAAATATGATGTATTACTTTAATGATTTCTAAAGAGTTCTTTTTCATTTCAATCAAATTAAAATTTGCAAAAAAAAAATAGAAAACAGACATGTGACTAGTAAATGTAAAAGTTTGATTACTGAAGCAAGTTAATAAAACAAAGATTGAATTATCTTAGGATCAATATAGTTCTCCATTATTAAAAAGTTAATTGGAAAATGACCTCTTCCATGTAATCACAAAGTCAAACTGAAATTCAAATGGTAGTTTAAAAAATTCTTAATGGACTAGAAGACTCGTGGATGCCTTGGATTTATGTGTCATATGGTAACATATATCTGAATCATATACAGTGTTGTAAACCTGTTTACCTCAACAAAAATAAATTAAAACTCAGGTATGTAAGATCATTCACTGCTCATTTGCAGCCCTTTTTCAGTTTACTTAACCATGACAGTAGCTTTATCACCAAAGCTCTAATAGAAATAGCCTCAAAACAACACTTATACAGCTTTGTTATTTTTTATGACTTAATTTTATAGGATTTTTTTTCCTCACAGTAGTGACATTCACATGATGGAGGAGTATGGGCACTTTGCTGATAGGTATCATGCTGTCAGTTAACATACACCGGAAGAGATGTGAACCTATACCCTTAAATTATATACAGTGTTGTAAACCAAGTTACCACCGTTTAAAAAATACAATTGAAAAAATGTACATGGGAAAGAAATAGTGACTTGATCACCTAGTTCCTGCTTATTATATATATTTAAAAAGTACCTCTAAATATCTGATGGGAATAAATTAAATTCATTCAATAGTGTTGAGAGATTTTCTTTGTGAGGAAACCAAATGATACCTGACAAACCTTAACATTGTGAGTGTTGCTGTAAGATTGGGATAAAAAATAGTGTCTTTACCTGCCGGATTTTTAGGTTTGTCTCTCCATCTAAATTAGATGTTTCAACATAGCATGTTGAGTGGGGTTCACTATGAGAAATAAAGCAAATAACATTGAATTAATATCTTTCCAACACATTAATTTCCCAATAATGGTAACTACGAAATGTTACCTGCATCAGTAATAGTTCTTCAGATATGAAAGGATTATTGCAATTACTTTGCCAAGAGACATTAGCAGTGTGATTAGTCTTTAGTCCCCCCAAATAATAACAGTACAAAACACAACAAAGCAAAAACAGACAATTATAAGTCAGAGACATACTGCAGGGGAGGAAGAAGGAGAGTGATTAAAGGGAGGGAGGGAGGAGCCCAGGGGACTGAGGTGATGGTGCACGGGTGCATTGGTGAAGGAAACTCTATGGGGACTACACCTGGGGGGTGGGGGGAAGCAAATATTGTTTAAAAAACCTGTGTGATTAGTCTTTAGCCCCCAAGAATGAAATAACTGAGGATGAACAGGAGATGTTATGTAGTTCAGAAAAGACCAGCATCAACTCTGAGTTCTAAAATGGGTTTATTGTAGTCTCCAAAGAATAGAGAGCCCAGAAATAAACCCACACTGACATCAACAGTTAATTGTTGACAAAAGACTGTGACTATGCAATGAAAAAAGGAGAGCCCCTTTAAAAATGGTGCTGGGAAACTTGTACAGTCACATAGCAAAAAAAGAAAAAAAGAAAAAGAAAGAAAGAAAGAAAGAAAGAAAGAAACTAGATCCTTACTCCATCCACAAAAATTAAAAATGGATAAAAGATGTGTATATAAGACTTGAAACCATAAAATATCAATACATAAAAGGAAACATAATTCACACACTCCAGAACATTAGAGTTGTATTGAGGGACACAACCACAATGGCAAGGAAAACAAAACTAAAATGAGCAAGTGGGATTCCTACTAAAATAACTTTAGAAATCAAAAGAAACCATCACAAAAACAAATAAAGGGAGATTTTGCACATCACACATCAGACAAGGGGTTAATTTCCAACATATATAATTAGCTCATACAACTTAAAGTCTCACCCTTCCTCCCACCTCACAACTGTGACACTTAAGCCATTCCTGGTTATACACTCCCCAACCATAGACCTAACATTGAAAGGAGAAACCTAAAACTGAAGTCATGGTGCCACCTATTGGAGAAGAAGAACAGCACACATGAGCCAACCCAATGCACAGGCAGAAGATGTCACCAACAAACAAGATTTAAAATTATAACAACATGAAACAACCCAAATGCCCCCAAATAGATGACTGAATCAAGAAAATGTGTTATATATACACAATGGACTATTACTCAGCAATCAAAAGAGATAAACTCATGCCATTCGCAGCAACATGGATGGAACTAGAAGGAATTATGCTCAGTGAAATAAGCCAGAAGGAAAAAGAAAAATATCAGATGGTTTCACTTATAGCAGGAATATAGGGGAACCAAATAAAACATCAGTGTAAAAAAATAATAACAGTACAAAGCACAACAAAGCAAGAACAGATAATTATACATCAGAGACATCCTGCAGGGGAGGAGGAGGGAGAGGGATCAGAGGGAGGGAGGGAGGAGCACAGGGGACTGAGGTGATGGTGCACGGGTGCATTGGGGAAGGAAACTCTATGGGGACTACACCTGAGGGGGTGGGGGAGAAGCAAATATTGTTTAAAAATGATAAATGATGTAAAAAATAAAATAAAATTACAACATGCTTGCATACATTTATATGTGGACTTAAATCTACTTAACTGTAACAGAAAATCTATCTTCTTACTTCAAAACATGCCCTATTAATGTTGGAATTGATGAGGAGTGGGTTTTGAATTTATTTATAGCCCATTTAGAAAGGCATTTAGAAATAAGAGACCTACCAAAAACAGATGAGTGGATCAAGAAGATGTGCTGTATATAGACAATGGAACACTACTCAGCAATCAAGAAAGATAAATACATGCCATTTGCAGCAACACAAATGGAGCTGGAAGGGATTATACCAAATGAAATAAGCCAGAAGGAGAAAGATAAATAACAGATGGTGTCACTTATACGTGGAATATAGAGAAACCAAGCCTAGGGTCAAATAAAGCCAAACTAAAAAACCAATCCCATAAATCTGAGGCATCCAAGAGGGGAGAAGAGGGGTGGGTAGGGGGATTGGTGAGCACAACAGACTATGGTGGAGAACTATGGACTATGGCTGCTTTGGTGGTGGAGAGCTACGACTACCATACCTAAGGAGAGAAATCCTATATTTTCAAAATATTAACAAAAATGCGAAACAATGGTCCTTCATTAGTAAAAATAAATAAAGAAATAAGAGGCCTAGATGATGTGGCAAACTTAGGGTTGCTGTTTGGGTTCTTTGAAGGTGATGTACTATCTGCTTTATTCCCCAAATATCTATAGAGAAACTAGAAAAAATGCTTTTGGAGTTATTTCTACACTGGAAAACATTGGTCATCAGAAAGATGATGATTCTCTTCTACCTTGCAAGAAAACCAAGTATGAGACTGAAAATGACCACAGTAGGCATCAATACTCATTTTCCTTTTACAATCCAACAGCCTCAACAGACTTAAAACCTTTATATGATAATGCTGTTTTCACTTGCAGCTTAAAGTCAGTAATCTATATTCAAACCATTAAAATTACAAGCAAAATCTAGTGAAGCATTAAATAAAAGACTGTGAGCTTAATGAATTTAGATATATACTTAAAACAGAGACAAACTTAGTTAACCTTTGTGGGAATGATAAAATAGCAGGAATAATTTAATAAAATGATGTTTCAATATCTTAACATATTCTTGAATTTTAAAAAAAGGAATTAGTGTTGGTATTTTTGCAAAAGCTTGGAGAATAGCTAACTAATTCATGTCTCTTTCCAAGAAATTGCTACATGCTCCAAAGTAACATATGTCTATAAGTCAGGACATTTTTGACCCCTTTGAGATAATTATGACTTGATCTAGGAAACAGGTTTGTCATACATATAAATGAATCTGTGTTCATTACAATGGTCATTCTACCCACTGATACCCCGTAATGCCATCTTACTTACAGAACATATAAGGGAGGGGTCAGTTGAGCTCCCCAGGGAGCCTAGCATAGAGCATAGGTGGAGCTGGTCATGTGTGACCTCATTGGAAAGAAACATCTCCTATAGGGAGCCTCTGTGGAAGTTTCCTCCTCAGCAGTAGGTGAATAAAGCAATATAGTTCCATACAAATAATTGTTTATTTTTTGAAATTTGGGCTTAATACAAACTCAATGATACTGAAAAAAAATCACTAATCATTGAGTGATTATAGAATAAAAATCCTTAATTGCCATGAGAAAAAACAAAAGAATAAATGTAAAATGTTTTAGATTAGTTGAATGCCTATAGCTATTGTAGAAAGGATGAAATTAATCTAAGAGTTAGTATAGGAGAAATTAAGTCCACAGAAATTAAAGATAATAAGAGCATAGAATAGGAGTCTGAAACTGTGGCCCATGGGCCAAATCCGGCCCCTAGCTATTTGTATAAATAAAATTTTACAAAACACAGTTGTACCCGTTTGTTAACATGTTTCCCAAGGCTGCTCCAGTATTACAAAGGCAGAATTGTAATACTGGCTACACAGCCACAAAGCTGAAAATATTTGCTATTGTTCCCTTTATAGAAAAAGTTTGTAGCCACTGGCCTACAATATAGAGAAAAGAATATTTAAATGAGTGCAGGATGGAGAAAGCCTTTGGTTTTCTTAAAATTTCTAATGGTGATGGTTCATAAGACTATGGTGGTAGGAGAAATACAAGGACTACACTTGAGGGGAGAAAGCAAATACTGTACAAAAATGCACAGCGATGTAAAAAAAAAAAGTCAAAGGCAAAAGGAAACAAACAAAAAATTTCTAACTCAATAGAAGTTCCTTAAATGCCTACTAACAACTAACCTGGAAGAAATCAGGACCATGTCTGCAGGAAGGAAATGCCCATTTGTGGTCTTCACAATGTCACCCACAATTACCTTTTAAAACCAGGAGAACACAGAGGCATACATTTCAGTAGCAAATGGAGGCAAAATGTGTCAAATATTCTCAAGAAAAGTACAATATGAAACTCCTTGCACCATCCTAATAAATTTCAACTACATTAGAACATTTTTTTTCTGTTTGTTCCTCTAAACCGCTGTACTTAACCCATAGCTATTTTTTCTCTCCTCCTACCAGAAGACTTAGCAATATCTGGAGACATCTTCGGTTGTCACAACTGTAGGGGTTTTAGAGAATGGCATTAAGAGTGTGTAGGAATGCTGCTAATCATTTCATAATAGATAGCATAGTCCCCCACAACAAAGAAGTATCTGGCCCAAAATGTAAAGTGTTAAGGCTGAGAAATCCAAACACACATATTTGTAGTCTTATTGTTGTGGTGATGTGCTGTTTATACACTCATGTAATTGCTTGCCTAATGGTCTGTTTGCCTCTGCTAGTGTCTCTCTCTCTCTCTCTCTCATGAATTCCCAGTATTTACCATAGTGAAGAAAAAATGATAGAAATATTAGGAATAGTACATGGGGAGAGTAATATATAAGCTTTTGATAGTTTCTTCTTCTGAATATATTCTTTAACAAACAACCTCAGCATTTACAGTGTGTTAAGTATTCAGGACATAACTCAGACTGGCAAGCCCTTCCTGGACAACTAGAAGCAGGGTGTCCAAATTCTTTCCTAAACCAATTTCTGGGCCTATATTGAAAAAATCATAATAGCTTACTGAGGACAAAGAGAACAAGGAGCCATATTTTTATTTATAGTTCATTTCTACCTTAATTGAGCAACAGATTAATGATCAAAGTGAGGAGAGAACCTTAAAGATTATACTGTGTATTTACAAATGTAGAAGTGCAACAAGGAGGAGGGAAAAAGATTGACAATGTAGTATTAACAATTTATCCAAAGTTCACAATGTAGTGAATAATAAAGTACTTATAACTGACATAAACAACTAGCTTACAGCAAGGTCTAAAAAAGACTAGAATAAGGTAAGTTGAAATTTCAATTCAAACTAAATTTTCCTCCAGAAATAATATTGATGTGGAAATTATGTACCCACAGACTCAATAGCAGGCAGTCATTACCCTAAAGGACAGCCATTACCATCACATCTTACAAACTTCTTTTTTCTTCTTTGTCTACAGGATCCAAAGTTAGCCCCCTTTTCCTTTTATAAGCACCCAATGTTTACAGTGCTCCATTTGGATATACATGCAGGTGGCATAGAAATGGCACAGAGGGACAAAAAAAGCTAGGTTGTGGGCTTTGGCTGCTTAGATTGTTCTTCTAGTGGAAGGGATTGGGGTAAATTTGAACACAATTCCGATATCCCCTCTACTCAGTAAGAAGCCCCCCCCCATGGAAGCCTTATACTTCTGACATTCACTGAACCCTTTTCTCTGAAATTCAGCCACTAGGACTGGTTTCTTTCTCTAAGTTCCAATGAGAGGAGTAAAATGCAATCATTGTTGACTCAACTGTTTTAAATTTGGAGTGGGGGGTTAATAGTGATGATACTTAGAAATCAAAACATTCTCATATCTAAATTTACAACAGCAATTAATTATTACTGAGGACAAAGTCACTATGTAGTCCCAGTATTCTTTTAACTTTTATCCCAAGGGTAAATTTGGATGACAGCATCCCCTGAGGTATTTGACATATGGAGGTTGTCCTGTAACCTGAGCAAGTTTATAAAGCATTGCCTCTAAACATTCCCTGCAGTTACACAGATGTAACACAAAGACACATTAGGTATACATAGGCAAGTTCAAATCCTATTTTCATAACTTCCTGTGTGACTTCATGCAAAATACTTACTCTTTGATCCTCCACTTCCTCATTTATAAAATGGGATGATGGTTCCTGAAGATGTGTTTCACAGATAAAAATCTGTAACTTTATATGTTGGAGGTGCTTGTTACTATATTAAAAGTTAAAAAAAAAACATTCTTACCTCTCGCCACATAATCATTTTCCATGTCTGATGTCTTAACACTGAAATAGAAGTAGCTATATATTAACTCTTACTATTGCATTAGGTGAAGTTCAAAAATAACTTTAAAAAGTTTGTTCAATAAATGGTACTGGGAAAACTGGGTCGCTATATGCAAAAGAATGAAGTTTGACAACTACCTCACACCATACACAAAAATCAACTCAAAATGGATTAAAGAACTAGACCTAAGACCTGAAACCATATCACTACGTGATATTCACCTCAAAGACATCTTTACAGACACATCACCCAAAGCAGTGATAGTGAAGGCAAAGATAAACAGCTGGGACGACATCAAATTAAAGAGCTTCAGCACAGCAAAAGAGACAATAACAAAAACAAAGAGAAACCCCACCAACTGGGAGAACATTTTTGCACACAACACTAATGATAAAGGACTGATCGCAAAAATCTGCAAAGAGCTGATGAGACTCAACAACAACAAAGAAAATAATCCAGTCAAAAATGGGCAGAAGAGCTAAAAAGAAACTTCTCTGAAGAGGAAATGCAAATGGCCAACAGGCAGATGAAAAAGTGTTCAACATCACTTGTAATCAGGGAAATGCAAATCAAAACTACCATGAGATACCATCTTACACCAGTGAGAATGGCACATATTAAAAAAACTAGCAACAACAAATGTTGGTGAGGTTGTGGAGATAAAGGAACTCTTCTGCACTGTTGGTGGGTATGCAAACTGGTCCAACCACTATGGAGAGCTGTGTGGAGATTTCCAGACCCACTAAACATAGAGCTTCCATATGATCCAGCAATTCCACTCCTAGGTATTTACCCAAAGGACACAGAAACATCAATTCCAAAGAACACCTGCATCCCTATGTTTATAGCAGCACTATTTGCAATAGCTAAGCTTTGGAAACAACCCAAATGCCCAAAAATAGATGACTGGATCAAGAAGATGTGGTACATATACACCATGGAATATTACTCAGCATTCAAAAAAGATAAACACATGCAATTTGCAGCAACATGGATGGCGCTGGAAGGGATCATGCTCAGCGAAATAAGCCAGAAAGAAAATGAAAAATACCGGATGGTCTCACTCATAGCAGGAATCTAGAAAACTTAAATAAGAGACCAGGAAAATGAATAACTATAAGAAAGTGAAAATCAAAATCAACAAACAACTATGAACCAGAGACACTCTATGGGGGGTAGGGGGCGGGGAGGGGAGGGATTGGGGTCAAAATAAGGGGGTTGCAATTGTATGGGGAATATAAAAATAAAATTTATTTTAAAAAAACAAAAAAAATAACTTTAAAAAACCTTTTTCTAAATACTAAATGTGTTTCTTTATAAATTTTTATCTTTGTTGATTTAACCTTTATATAAACCGGAAGGATATATAAACTGATTTAATATGCATTACAACAAAATAAAGTAATATGTAGAAAATGCATCATAACATAATATAAAGATGTATAGAAAGACACAGAATGATGAACAGACAGATACATAGAGACTACATGTATTAGGGCACTTCCAGTCCTAGGAGAAAACAGTTAGCCATAACATGCTAAAGTACTGGCTGAGGGATTGAAGTCACAGACATGGTGGAATATATAACTATAGAAAAACCTTTCTTGAAGGCACAACCAGAAAACAGATAGCACGTAACTTGTCATACAATATAAGCTTACCATACAATGTGAATTTCTCATACAATTTCACATCTGCTTATCACTGAAGGACACCTGATTGACCCACGCATCTGCGTGGGTTTAAGGTTGGAAGACAGAGGCTTATGGAATTGTCAGAACTGGAAGAGGGGAGTTGAAACTGTGGCCATAGCTGTGGCCATGCAGTCAGTGGACCAAGAAGGTGGAGGGCTAAGACATCGGGGTCACCCATGTCTCCAGGACTCTAGTGAGCTCCATAAAAAAAGTGAAGATTTATGCTCCCTGGTGAGGTTGGGTGCTGTGATTAGACACTGAGTCCCAGGGAGTTTTTTAGGTGTCTGCATGACAGGACGAGTCCCCTCTCTGTCCTCAGCTAAGAATGTCTGAGAGGAGAGCTAAGCCATGGCCAGCTGCAAAAACCAGAAGTTCAGTCCAGAAGTAGGACCTGGGAGCATGGGCCTTGTGCTCACATGGGAAACTGATCTAGTCACAGAGGAGATGGGACAACAAGGACTTTATGCCCAAGTTGGCCATTCCCAACGAAAGGCAGTGACTGGATGAAACTGCCTCCATATTGCATAAAAGGGAGGCTAATTTGATGGTGATGGCATTAAAACTTTGGTGACGTATATATACATATATTGAGGTATAAAGTTGTTGTGTTTCTGAAATTTACATAGTATTGTAACAAAATGGAAATCAATTTTTAAATATAAATATAAATACTTGCTAGTAACCTGAGAAGAAGCTAAATATATATTTTAATCAGTAATTAATATAGCACATATCAAAACTAAGACTGAGAATATGTAACACCCAGATCTTTTTAATGAACATAAGAATTCTTCATATCCTGAATAGTCCATCCTTCCTAATATTATCATTTATTTTATTCTAATGAATTATTGATTCTAACATAGGGAAACTGAGTTTCCTTCTATTTTTTTATTCTTTGCTTCTATGTCTTTTCAAATAATAAAATATATTCCATGTATCTACTTGGTGAATTCAGATAATTCTTATAGGGAAGGGGGATAAAAGTTCAATCTAATATCTTACCTATTGTTCTCTTTGTGTTAACTAATTTGTCTGCCATATGTCGTTTCTGTTGTAGAAAAAAAATTCTTTACATCAAAAGTGCAAAATGAATAATTCAAGTCATAATACAAGTCATAGTAGGTTTACGAATCAAGACAGTACTTGTAAAGTCTTCTTTGGCTATGATTGATTTCAGTTTTGTTTAAGCCCTTAAAACTGGTGAATATTTGTGAATTTATTGAGATTAAGCAGTATAGAAAAGTAGTTAAGCCTGTGGCATCTGCAGCTAGCTTACCTCCCTTGATCTCCCAGCTCTGCCTCTTACTAATGCAGCCTTCTCAGGACAAGCCTGTGTGTGATTCAATTTAAATGAATACACACGCATAAGCATACTTACAGTACATATATATATATATATATATATACACACATACACACACACAATGTCTGTGACACAGTAAAGTGCTACTGGAAATGTTAGCATGTTATATTTTGCTTAAAATGAGTATATTTGGTTAAAATACATGATTAGCAATTTTGAACTTTGCACCTACTTCTCTGAAAGCTTTTGATTAAGTTTGGAAATTTCTTTTATAGTCTAAACCAATCAAAAGGTTAGCAACTGAACAGATTTTACTGATCATGTGCTGTAATGAAATGGTAGGAGTCAGGCAGAAAACTTGTGGATAATAATAGCTAGCCATTTTGGTAAATGAGCACTAGGACTGTGAGTGAGGAGCTGGTACAGTCAGAACAAACTGAAAACAATACTAAATATCTCTCATCTTTCTCTTAACTATTGAAATCAGCAGGCCCATGTGAAATTGTACCTGTAATGAGGGGAAGGGAGAAATTAAGCCAGGCACAGTTTATGTGCACATCCTTTTAGCCAGTTAGAATTTTCATCTCTGGTTGGATTACATTCCCAAAGAAACTATCATTGTTCTTACGATAAAATTCTTAATAATAGTTTTTTAAGTCCTGCTAGCAATATATATTTGGCTAATAAAAATATATAAATACATTATATAAAAATACTACATAAATTTTATTAAATATAGAACTTTATCTTTAAATTACATATATATATTAAAACCTCAAAACTTGAAGTTACTCATCACACCAACTATAGATTAAAAAATTATACCAGTTTCAACCAACCACCTGGAGAAAACAGCAACAAATATAACATACATTCAAGCCAGTAATCTTGAGAGCATTCTACTAACAGTGAGCTTACATAATCTTCTATAATTTCTTTGATGGCTGATATTGTAAGAATAATCATCAAAGGAACCAGAGTTGTATATTTTCCTGTTGGAGACACATCTGGAATTTGCTGCAAAACAATCAGAGTTACTCTATTAATTTTATGATAAATCCTTATTATATTTTGCTTCCACTGAAAGTCACACTGCTAATAGCACTTCCCCGGAAAGAAAAACAATAGGGACATCACATAAAAAGGGGAAGGAGACTGGCATATCCAAATCGTCCCTTGAGTGTGTCACTAATATTATGGAAAAGTCGCCAGTACAACTACTTAATTACATTTTAGACATTATGTAGCTTTTCTAATAGGATACATTCACTCTGTTTTGAAGGGAATAATCCAAGATTTAAACGTCTAAAATAGCGTATTTTCAAAAGAGTTAATTCCTGAAGGTCAGCAGTCTTAACTGAATCTTCTTTTTGAGGCAGAGTAGAAAATTTTTGGAGGCATAGAAGAATAATGACTCCTACCTAGGTACAAATTATCTGTGGACAGTGCTCTAGGGCTAACCCCAATTGTTGAAAGTATGGAACCTGAAGCAATTGAAAGTGAGGCTATACTTTTTTGATGAACGCAAGTGTAGGTGAAGTTCTACATTGGACCTTTAATTTTCTAGATTTAGACAAGTTCTTAGGCCAATACTTCAGACTTGGGCCTGTGTCTACTCTCTATGCTACCTTAGTATTTCTTGCTTGCTTAGTTTCTTGGAATAGTGTGATGAAATTGTATGTGTTTTGAAATTCCCAATACCTCCTGTAAGTGTTCTTTTAAAGGAATCTATGTACTAGAGGAAGAAAAGGGGGAACTTAGGACTCTTTATGCCATGAACTGAATCTGCCTTTGAAATAACTTTTCTATATGTCCTTCTTCTCCCTGTCTTTGCAGTGCCCCCCTTACACACACACACACACACACACACACACACACACACACACACACACGCACTGGCCGTTCCCATACCCCTCTCTTTTCCTCAGTTAAGACTAATTGACCTGGTTGCTTCACTGCCACTGTCTTCTCAATATCTCTAGAATAAAGTCCAAGCTTCTAGTGTAACACACACCTGGCTGCAGCTGATGCTAAGTTTTAGCTTCTTTTCTATCCTACTTAGGCTCCAAAAAACTCTATTACTACTTTCAAAACATTTCATGCCCTACAAAAAAATTAATACTTGATGTTTTCACAATTCAAAATATATTGAAAGGTTCACAGAGAAAATTCTATCTCTTACCCTTGTCCTCTTCTCCCCTTGGTTCTCCTCATAAAAGGCAACCAATACTTTTATGTCTTTGCTATTCTTTTCTCTATACCCAAAAGTCTTTCTTCTCTTCCTTCATAGTCTTATGGTTAAGCTCGTTCTCTTCTAATCTTTTGGTTCAAATGCCACTTTTTTTAGTGCTTTTTTCCTGAACCACTCACTCTCAAGCCAGAAGTAGGCCATAATTCCTCTAGCACTTTATACTTTATAATGTATGTTAAGACTCCCAGATCTGTAAGGGCAGGCACTATGTCTAATAAACTCATCCTTGAAGTCTTTAATTACATAATGTGTAATTTTGATGCACACTATGTGGCTCTATAAATATTTACTGAAGCCAAATCTTCTGTTTTAAGAGCAACTGAACAAGTTTATTAAATTCTTACACCAATGTTTAATAGTTGCTAAAGAACTGTTTCTAGTTGCAAGGAATTTATAGTTTGCTAAGAGAAATAAAACCAATTATACTATATAGTACAGATCATTGCTACAGAGCTTCAGAAAATGCAGAAATCAGCATGGACTACAGCTTTTGGTGAAATTTGGAGGAGAATGATTTTCAGTTATGCCTTAAGAATATGAGTAGGAGATAGCTAAATCAGTGCCTTCTAGATTCAGGGAGTAGAATGAGCTAAAGTATAGTAAGAGGAAGAAAATTGAAGAATTGTGAGGACACTTGTCTGGTTGAATTGTAAATGATGAAAATAAAGTTGAATAAACAGGAATAAACCATATTATAGAAAGTCTTAAGCTTAGCTTTTTTGAAAAGCTAAATTTCCTGCTTATTCCTAACAGAAAAAATACAGGGAAAACTTCTATAATTGGTCTTGGACATGACACCAAAAGTACAGGCAATGAGAGCAAAAATAGACAGTAGGACTACCTCAAACTAAAAAGCTTCTGCATAGCAAAAGAAACAACAAAATGAAAAGGGAACCTATGCAACATTTTCAACCCTTATATCTGATGAAAATATATAAGGAACTATAACTCAATAGCAAAAAAAGATAAGAAATGTTGGCAAGGAAGTGGAAAAAAATGGGACACTTGAGTGCTATTGGTGGGAATGTAAATGATGTAGACACTAAGAAAGTGGGGTGCCTCCAAAAATATAAAAATGAACTACCATATGATCTGGTAATCTCATTTCTAGGTATTTATAAAATAATTGCAATCAAAATTACATTCCCACCGATAACAACATTTCTTATCTTTTTCCCCCCAATAATAGCCATCCTACAGGTGTGAGGCAAAATCTGTTTTGATTTGCATTCCCCTGGTGGTTAGTGATGTCAAGCACCTTTTCCTGTACTTGTTGGTCATTTATATACCTTTTTCAGAGAAATTTCTCTTTAGGTCTTTTGCCCATTTTTAGTTTGGGCTATTAGTGTACTTTTTGCTATCGAGTTGTAGTTCCATCTATTGGTCATCAGTATGTTTTTCAGACTCGAAAAGGGACATTCAGTGTCTCACAAATAACAACTATCATGTGAAGAGAGTTTCTCATCTTAAAGCACCTAAATTTATTCGCTGCATTAACTATTTGAACTAAATGAACTTTTTACATTTTTTTACTCTTTAAAAATCTTAATCGAATAGCATATTCAGAAATGTTACCTGCAATATAGAAATGAACAGGAAGAAGGCATTGGCAGCTTTGCGAAACTGCAGATACAAAAATCGAGGGAGAAATGGCCACATGTTGTACTTGGTTGTGCTGTAGATGAAAAGAAAAGTATTATGGTCAGTTAACCTTCTGATCTCTAAAAACACTCATGCAAAACTCAGATGTGACTTAAATATTATAAAATACTGATCCATTTTTTAAATACATTTTGCTTTTTTTGAAAACGTTCATGGTTTCCTGGAAATAATCTCCAAATAAATGAAGAACATTTTTCCTCATTTCAAGAACTAAGTATTGTGAATATAGTAGACATGGAGAACCAAAGATCAAAAGCCAGAAAACAGCAAGTTATCTAAACATATTAAAAGGGGAAAGTGGAAAAAAGCACCATCTTTGATTTTACTGATAATTGAATATTTTAAGTACTTGCAAAACATCAGGGGAAAAAAAAAACACAAAACCCCTATGTTTATGGGCCTACATTCTGATGAAATGAGACAACTTAACAAATATGACAAGTTAGATATATGTTAGAAGATAAGCAAGGCTATTTCACATAGAAATAGACAGTAATACAACAAAACCTGCCTTGTAGTTCAAGGATAATAAGGGCCAAATATTATATATATATAAACTACATATATAGTTATATATAGTGTGTGTGTGTTTGCGTGTATATATATGCATAAATACATGAACTAGTTCCCTTTTTATCTCTGCAGTAAATACTCAACTCAGTGAATCCGTTGGGAATTGGAACTCTTAAGAAACCTAAAGTTCAATTCCATAGTACAGAATGGTATGGGGAACTCAGTATATTTGCAAGGTTCCTTGGAAAGCAGTTGCAGTTCCCCTCATACTGAGAGAGAGAAGGGGGTTTGGGTGGAGAGAGAGGTTTCAGTTGATCTGCATGATACTGCAGATTAACATGGAAAAGTGACTGCTTGGAGAGAGGGCATAGAAGGTGAAATGACAACAAATTCTATTCTCCATAGTGAACAAAAGAATTTAATGTTCCTCAAAGTTTGGAAAAACTATTATAGCCTGAAGCATAGATTCATATAAATTGATCCACACTATGTGTCGGTTTTTTGTGGGGGAACCACATCTTCTTCTACCTTCCTCTTCTTCCAGCTACATATACCACTCACCTGATGTGATTTTTGCAGAAACTGTTCTTATGAGGTTGGTTAAGGTAAATTTGGCGGATTTTAGACACATTCGAGCCTTTCAGAGTTTTTGGCGAGACCATCTTTTCCTCCACCTCTGACAGCTCAAAGGGAAATTAACATTTCCTGCAGCAACAAGGCATAGAACTGTTAAACAGAAATGCAAACAAAGTCATACTCTAGGGAAGGCAGCAGGCACACTGCTGGTGTGGGGGCAAGGGGGTGGTGAGGGCAACTTCATTATCTCTCAAATCACCAAGGAACAGATCCTCATCTGCTCACCCCTCTTCCACGAGGATCATCACCCTGGCCAGCACCCCCCTCTCCTTGCTACCTTGCATATGAGGATCAGGCAGTTCATTTCCTCACAGCGCACATGCCCCCATATCGTCCCCATTTCAAGAGGCTCTGGATGGGTCCAAATGCTCGGGTAAGGGGTCAGGGGCTTGCGGTGTGATAGGATCCAGTGGTTGGGCTTAGAAAGAGGAGAAAGAAGGTGGAAGAACAGAGGAGAAGAAGGAAGGAAGAACCAAAAGGAGGAGCCACCTGGGAGTGCCTCCCCTGAGGAGCAATAACTCTGAGCAGAGCAGAGAACCCTGACCAAAGTAAACCTAAATTTTAAGCAGCACGGAGCTGTTAGTAACCAGTGTTCCCAAAATAGGAACCTCCCTCCACACCAACACATTTCTTCAACAAATAATTGTCTATCAGATAAGCTACCTTAAATAAGCGGTAGTAAAAAGTGAGTCAGCATGAGACCTATTCAAAAGTAATGAGCCCAGTGCCTCCCTGGTGGTGCAGCGGTTGAGCGCTGGGTTGCGAAGCTGCCCACTGCCTCTGCAGCGCCGGTTCGATCCCCGGTTGCTCCCAGGCCACCAGAGGAGAGTCCCACATGGCGTGCAGACCTCTCCTGCCGCCCGCTGCCCCCTCAGCAGTGTACTTGAGTCTGCCTGCTCTGCTCCCCGCTCTGGCTCTGGTGAATTCTCTCACCCTCCCATGCTTCTGACTGTACCCAGTACTTGTATAAATAAATAAAAATAAATCTTAAAAAAAAAAAGTAATGAGCCCTTGTCCAAAATATGAGACTATGAGGACCAAAAGACAAAGGAAATTCGTGTTTGCACATCCAAAGAATTAAGTTGCAAAGCATATGGAAAATGACTTTCCTTTAAAGAATTAAATATAGCCATTATGAAACAAAGGATAACTATGAAAAACCTGCTACAAATATGTAATTAAAAATGTATATCATATGAGTGCTTTCTAAGATTAACAATGATGCAAGTCTGTTCTTTCTCATCACATCTATGAAGTACTATATTGGCAGTTTTGTCAGTGCAATAAAGCAAGAGAAAAAAAAAAGCATGAAAGACTGAAACTTAATCATAGGATTATAGAACATTTCCCCTTCTCCATACCTTACCACTACATCTGTGGAGTTCCTGTATAGGGAATTATAGTGAAAGAGCTTAAGGCTAAGGCCCTAGTTAATAAAAAATCTCTAGAGAAACCCTAAGACAATCGGGGAGATAAAAATAAAACACCAGAGGGGGGGCGGAGCAACATGGCGGCGAGGAGACGCTGCGAGTAAGATCTCCCATTAAAAAAAGTGAATAGGGAGGAAAAGCGGCAGGTCCCAGTGAGAACTGGGACACGGAAGATAAACGGGTGATGCCAGCGAACTGCCCGAAGAAGAAAGTGGCCATAAAAGAGGACTAGAAGGGAGGGAAGCGCAGAACCCTGCTCCCCTCCCCCGCCCACAGGCGGCACTCTCCGACCGCAGAGAGGAGGAAAACAACAAACCAAGCGACCCACAAGAACAAACGACGCAGCAAGCGGGACTGTGAGTGGAAAGGAACTATTGCAGCCACCACACCCCGTGAACGGGAGCTGTGGAGAACCCCGCAGGATCCGAAGCGTAGGTGAGCGAACAGCTCCGGGCGCCATTGAAGAGAGACCCCGCCCCCGGGGAGGAGACCAGCACCAGCTCTGGGCGCCATTGAAGAGAGGCCCGCCCCCGGGAGGAGACCAGCACCAGCACACAGCCCGGGCCGCCCGGTAAGCTTGGGCGGAAAGGTGGCGCGCTGGAAAAACAGGCGCGGATCGCGGTCAGGATTGCGCGGAACAGCGGCGCGCTGGAAAACCAAGTGCGGATGGGAATCGGGATCGCGCGCGGAAAAGCAGTGCAGTTGAAAAGCAAACGCGGATCCAGATCGCAGCTGCCCAGGTCCCTGCGCCTGCGACCTAGGCTTGCGGGGAGACGCGCGGAGGCCCTCCCTGAGTGAGCAGGCCCAGGCGCCCAGGCACGGGAGCGGGATTCAAAAGGCGCCATTCACGCGCCACTGAACTGGGCTACAGCCTGAGTCCTGGAACTGAGGGCTTTGGAACTGACACCCGGGGCACGAAACTAGGGGCGTGGTTCCCCCACGACGGTGGGGCACAAGGCAGACACAGCACCCCAAAGCGTTGAGGCTTACCCTACCATTGCCGCTCTATTCCCTGTCCCACGGGTGGAAAATCAGCTCCCCAAGGGCTCCAGGAGAGATCTCTGGCGCCACCTAGCGACTTGAAGCCAGCAGAGGCGCCTAGAGGAGCCAGTGGCCAGCTGGGGAGTTAGCCCACGCCGGGCCCTTCCGACCAGTAGTCTGAGCCCACAGGGGGAGCGAGCACCCACAGCCGGGGCAGACCAGGCGCGCAGAAGAGTGTGCCTGAGTCCGGACGCACAGGGAGTGTGTCCCACATCACCATCTTAGAACAGGGACATTTCTTCAGTAAAGACTACCTGCAGAAGGCTTCCTCAGGAGCCAGAGGTGAGCGGGGGAAGTTCTCCCACGCCAGACCCCTCTGGCCTGCAGTCCAAGCCCAGAGGGGGAGCAGGAACCCACCGCCGGGGCAGACCAGGCGCACAGGGGAGTGTGTCCCCACATTGGCATTTTAGAACAGGGACCTTTCTCCAGTAAAGACTGCTTGAAACTGACAGATGACTCCTGGAGGAACCAGAGGAGAGCAGAGAAGCTCACCCAAGATGCCGGCCAGTCCCAACTACACAGTGTCCCAACGCATACGGCAAAATTAGAAAACAGACAGTAGGGAGGAGAAGAACCACACGCAACCTAGCAACTCCCCAGGGAAAAAGCACACCACAAAAAGGAAAGCAGCCCCCAGATTGCAACGACAGTAACTTGGAAGAACTTCTGAGCCTTCCAGAAAGAGAATTTAAAATTGCCGTGATTAAAAAACTGACAGAAGTCATAAAGGAAAACAATGATAAGGGAAAAATAATCAACGAACAGAAGAATGCAATTGGGTCCCTAGAGAGGAAAACAATGGTCAGAAGAATGAAATTGAGTCCCTAAAGAGGGAAGTAAAAGAAATGCAGGAGATCAAAGAATTAATGGAAGAACTAAAGAATTCTGGGAAAAGCAATGAAAGCAGAATAGACGAAATGGAAGAACGAATAAGTAATCTTGAAGACACAGAAATAAAAAGAACCAAAACAGAAAAGGAAAGAGAAGTACGAAGGAAAAAGAACGAAGAAAGACTTCGGGAACTATCTGACTCCATGAGGAAAGGAAATATAAGAGTTTATAGGAATACGAGAAGGAGAAGAGAGATGTAGGAACAGAGAAAATATTCAAAGAGATAATTGAAGAGAACTTCCCAAATGTGAAGAAGGAGCTGAAAAATTGATATACAAGAAGCAAGAAGAACACCAACTTCCACGACGAAAGAAAATACAGCAAGACACATAATAGTAAAGCTCCCAAGAATCCAGGACAAGGAAAAAATAATGAAGCTGGCAAGAGGGAAGAAACAGATAACATTCAAAGGAAAGCCAATCAGGCTGACATCAGACTTCTCCGAAGAAACACTACGGGCAAGGAGAGAATGGAGGGACATAGTCAACAGACTCCAAGAAAACAGATGCCAACCAAGAATTCTCTATCCCGCAAAGCTCTCCTTTCTCTTTGAAGAAAGAATATGGACCTTCCAGACAAACAGAAACTCCGGAATTTCATTGCAACTAAACCCCCACTCCAAAAAATACTACAAGGAATCCTAAAGCAGAACCTCAGAGGGACGAATAACAATGAAAGAAGGCAAAAAAAAAAAAAGTTATTAAAAGAATAAATAATAAAATCAAAGGAAAGACAAACAAATGGCAAATACAGATCTAACATATCAATATTAACTCTAAATGTAAATGGACTAAACTCTTCAATAAAAGACACAGAGTTGCAGCTGGATTAAGAAACAAAACCAACCTTTTGCTGTCTCCAGGAAACACATTTAGCTACAAAAGATAAAAATAGGCTCAAAGTTAAAAAGATGGAAAACAATCCTACAAGCAAATGGACCAAAAAAGAAAGCAGGAACAGCTATACTTATATCAGATAAGACAGATTTCAAACTCAAAAAGATAAAAAGAGATCCCAATGGTCACTACATTATGATCAAGGGGACAATACTTTAGAAGAAATAACACTCATTAACATATACTCACCAAACGAAGGAGCACCAAAATATATCAGACAACTGTTATCCTCTCTGAAAACAGACATCAGAGAAAACACATACGTAGTGGGAGACTTCAACACACCACTATCAACAATGGATAGATCAACAAGACAAAAAAATAAGTAAAGAAACCCAAAGCTCTAAATAAGGACCTAGAAAGCAATTGGGCTTTAACAGACATCTATAGAACACTAAACCCCAAAAAACGGAGTACACATTTTTCTCAAGCGCACACGGAACATTCTCCCAGGATCGATCACACATACTGGGCACAAGACAACATCAACAGATACACCAAGATTTGAAATCATATCAACCATCTTTTCTGACTATGAAGGCATCAAACTAGAAATAAACCATAAAAAGAAGGCAAGGAACTTTCCTACCTCATGGAGATTAAAAATCACACTACTGGAAGACCACTGGACTAATGAGGAGATCAAAGAAGAAATTAAAAAATTCTTTGAATTGAGACGACAAGGAGGACACCAATATCCTAAATGTATGGGATGCAGCAAAAGCAGTAATAAGAGGAAATTATATAGCAATAGAAGCTCACATCAAGAAACAAGGAAAAAACTCAAAGAAACAACCTAATCCTCGAAGCTCAAAGATCTAGGAAAAAGAACAACAAAAAAACCCCAATACCAGTAGAGAAAAGAAATAATAACAAAAAGCAGAAATAATGAAATTGAAAAACTAAAAAAACAATCCAAAAGATCAATGAAACCAAGAGCTGTTCTTTGAAAAAATCATAAAATAAGACAACCCCTAGCCAGGCTCACAAAGGAAAAAGGGAGAAAGCACAATAAACAGGATCATCAATGAAAGAGGAGAAATCACAACGGACACAGAAGAAATCAAAGAATAATCAGTACTACTATGAACAGTTATATGGAAACAAGTTTAACAATCTAGAGGAGATGGACAAATTCTACAACTCTACAATCACCCAAAGCTAGATAAAGAAGAAATAGAACACCTAACAGACCAATTACAAGCAGCGAAATTGAAATGGTAATCAAAACCTCCCCAACAAAAGCCGGGACCTGATGGA